AGGACCTATCACACATCTGGCCACAAAAATACTACAAGGATCAACCATCAAGGAAGTAACTCCTAATCTCTCATAGAATGATGGTCTGAGTTAATTCAATAGTGACAATAATTAAATATCCCACCGCTGCCACCAAAATGTCACGTATTGAATCAACCACAAACACAAATGAAGTTGTAATAAAGATTTATTCCCTCCCTTAAAGTAATTTTAAATCCCAATAACAATATTTAAATTCAAACTAATACCAAATTAACTAACACAACTAACTAATCTAGCTTCTACTACAACTAACAATACTACCATCTACTACTAATACTAATATCTGAATACTAACAGTACAAATGTTTACTACTAATAATACAACTCTCTACTACTAACAATACAACTATCACGATACACTATCCTAATACTAATAGTCTACTTCTACCAATACTAACACTAATACAGATGTTCTAAGAATAACACAACTAATACACAATAAAACTTTGTGTGTGTACATATGTACAACAACAACACACAACCACAAAAAAAACAACCCCACAAACAATACAAAGCCACTCCACTGTCACTGTCACAACAGTTCTATACAGAACTTTGGAATCTCTGATGTTATTGAGCAGTTCACACGAGAATTCTTCCTCGTAATAACGAATGGTGAACTTTCCACCCAGGCGATGTTATCCCCACGGAGTTAAGGGTGCCTGTTTACATGGATGCCACGGCTGTGTTCATCCTACGATGTGTACACGGAAAAACGGAGATACTTCTCTCCTTACGTAGGGTCGGAGAACTTCTCTCCTTACGTGATGTTGGAGGTTGTTACTTCCTCCTACGTAATATCGGAGGTTCTTCCCTCCTACGCACTCTAAGGTTAACCGGCCAGTTCCGGGACACTACAATATAATATAAGCAATTACAGTCACTGAGGTATGTGTCACTACCTCACAATACATACAGCCATGCACCAATACTCCGATTTACATATTACTGAGTTGAACTGTTTATACTTTGATCATGTTGTGGTTATTGTTACAGTGGCTTTACGCTATTACCATCAATATGTGTATATAATTACATTTGAAAACAATACATAACTCAAAATTCTATCCTCTAAAATACAATTCTACATGAAACAATAAATGTAAAAACTTACGCCAACCAGAGTAGAAGTCTCCCACAATATTAGTCCATGCCTTACATGACCATGCTGATTCTGGCTGACTGTACAAATTATTACCCTGCCCCGCTATTTAAACTGACCCCAAAGCCCAAGCTACCCCTGACCTCCCTATTGTTACACCAATTAACTCCCCAGCTATCAGCCGTACCCAGTCACGCTTCCCTGAACCTAACCTGTTCCCATAGTATTACCTGACAATATCTAAAAACAACCCGCTAAGCTTAATATACTAATGTAACCATACCGTAATACATCTATCTGAAGTACTAACATATAATTAAAATATACAAGATTATCTTGACACCTAGAGTCGAATCCACGGGACTAGATTTCAGGGTAGGGGAAACCAGAAAGTGGAATAACTTTACAAGCAAAAGTCATATGGTATGACCACTCAAAATGTTGGTAACCTGATGCTCTACTTGTTGGTATGTAATATAGGACTAATACGGTAAAAAGGTAGGTCACAACATTTGACCTCTGCTTAAAATATTATCACCTACCAGAATATATATTGCAGATGCCACACTAATGGGACTTTCTTAACCCAAATGGGCTATGATTGAAGCCAAGCAGTACCTAAGTCTGTTTAAAGTCTGATAAAAGGAACTTTATTATCTTTTATGGTGTGGTACAAACGGTTTTTTTGGTACATTTTAGAAGGAATGTCATCATGCGCTAAAAAGATGTAAAATTGTATGAGGTTGGGCTGCTTGAAATAAGTTCACATGAATTTATAACTCTCAACTCCAAATTAAAAAGGCCATGTGCTAGATGTAGTCAGTTGTTTTGAAGATACATTGTTCTGTTATTTGGGCTCACAAGATTAAACTGAAGGTCAAATAGGGTTAAATTCGATATGCTAACCGCAATAACATAAAATGCAGTTATATCTTGCATAATGAATATTAATATTGTTAAGATCACACAATTAGACACAAAAACTATCTTTATCACATAAGTGTTAGAAACTTAAGTCTTGATTGTTGTAGACCGAAACAAGGGTGGTTGAACCGCAATTCACTTCTCAATAAGTGTCCTTGTGCTGTATAGACATCACATTTGTGACTAGTGCCTTGAACAGCTGTGCTGAAACATTCCAGCTTGTGCCTACGCAAGTCAATGTGTTGCTGTGTATGTCGCTGGTGAGGAGCCCAAGGGCTGAAACCTTTCCTCTTCCAGTGAAGCAGCTGACGGCATCACAGTTTGTAAACGGGATTGCCTAAAAGTCGGGCAATTACGCAATACATATCCCACCTTCAACATCTTTGTTGTATGATAGTTTGTTACAGTTGTGTACGGGGGCACGGTTGGCCAAAGTCGCCGTTTGCGCTGCAATTCGCTATGCAGAGTGGTGTCCCTTGGGCACGCCGGAAACCTATGACGGTGTGTTCGAATCCTGGTTCGCCCCGATTATGTTGTCAGCACTATGCCCGTGCTCATGGGTTTCACCAATGTGGTGAAAGTCTAATACCTGCATCACTTCGGGCTTTCCTTCCACATCAAGCTGACACGCCGTGATATAACTGAAATTATACTATTCAAAGCGGCGTTAAACCCAACTCACTCTCTCACTCACTACTCTTGTGTACGGTTCCGTTTGGTGAACTGGGTTTGTGTTGTGATTACTTCCGGCTTAAATTTGAAGAATGTTTATAAGAATGTTACTATGTTCAAGCCAAACATCGTGAATATATCATGCAACCGAATTATTTTTCAGGAGAATAATTGCAAACTAAGGGCCAACATGTTGATTTCCAGTGTATCCAGAAGCAAAGATCATATACGGGTGTATAATCTCTGCAGGAAGTTAAAACAACTGTCAATACAATAAACCATGCAGAACCATAAACCGCCGTATGAAACGGTATGAATCCTATTTTACATACAGTGAACTACTTGAAACTGTGCTCAAATCTGCACAGCACGCACCATACATGTGATTGTGAAGACAACTTATTACAAATATCTGATATCAAACCCGTTGTTTTACATGTGTTGTTTATTGATATCTGATATCAAACCCGTTGTTTTACATGTGTTGTTTATTAAACAAAGCCATGCTTCATAGAAGCCTGGTATTTAATCGTGTTGAACAATAATTTGCAATAGCAGTGTGAAGGGAGAACGACTGAGTGCGCGTTACATGCTTGACCTTAATTCCTCCCTGGAACCATTCTCCCTGGCTGCCTGAATAACATACGATACATTGCATAGGTAGTGCGCAAAAGAGCTATTCGGTAAGATACGATGTACAACATTGCAAGGTCACGCGTGATAAAGCTCTATACTACTCATACAGCTAAAGGAGATAATCGCTCAATGCGCCATAGGTAGATGTGTTAGTAAATTTATTGAACCTAATAAAGTCGATATATTTAATTTAATATCATAGATACAAATATGAAATTTTGGAGTGCGATAGTCACATGTTGTCGTTGTACAAAGGCATTAAAAACTGTTCATTGTCACGTCACATAAGGCCACAAGGGTGCGCTGAACTCAATCACCAGCTGTCAATATACAAAACAGAAGAATACATCAAGATGACAGTTTTCGTGTAAAGATTAAGTATTTCTTAGCAAATTAAAGATACATATATCTAGATATTGTACATATCTTTAAGTTGCTTAGAAATACTTAACCGTTACATGGAAACTGCCATCTTGATGTATTATAATGTACTGTATGTTGACAGTTTGTGATTAATTGTCACCAGATGGCTCCAGCTGGGGTACCGGTAATGTGTCTTGGAAAATGTGTATTTGATCATTTAAACTTTTTTATATGTTAAGTAGAGTTAAATATTAGCAACTGTTTTCCAATAGAAAAAAAGATTATATGCTCACATAATGCTTCTGGCTCACATCCCTGTTCTTGTTCTTTTGACGAGGCCATTGAAAGCGAGCAGTCATTGTCTCAAAATTCAACTTTAGAACAAAACATTAAGTTTGTCTTTTCTTTTGCAGAATAAAGGTCCCTTCTTATTCTAACTCAAATGGTTATATTTTGTAATATATTCAGGTTGAAACCGAGTTCATATATGGTACTAGATGACATTCTTCTTGGATTAGTGGTAACCAAATTACATCAAAATGTAACTTAACCATCATCTAAATACATATAGGGCCTGACTATGAGCAATAGGAGTAGTTTTTTTTATCAAAACATAATGACATATTTCAGGAAGCCTTACTTCATACAAATCTTGTATGCTTTTAGCGCAAAACGACATTTGTCTTAAAATGCATCAAAAACCGTTTTTTACCAGGCCAAAAAGGATACCAACATTTTGAGTGGTCATACTTCACAATATGACTTTTGCTTGTAAAGTAATTCCACTTTCTGGTTTCCCCTACCCTGAAATCTAGTCCCGTGGATTCGACTCTGGGGTCCCCCTTTATGTGGTGATTACTACCACTAAGCTGCAGCTGTAAGTCCCGGATTGCTTTCAAATATTTTTTTCCTCTATGGATATATGACTTTCAAAAAATCATACTGAGATTTTGCCACCTCAGGTGGTACCAATATCTGGTCTGGCTCATGGACTATATGTAGCGGACATAACATTTCCGAGTTCCGTAATGGGATTCGAACCACGGATCGCTAGACGCCTTGTCCAAATTCCCGGATTGCTTTCAACGTTTTTTTCCATCTGACTTTCAAAAAATCATACTGAGATTTTGCCACCCCAAGTGGTACCGCTTTATAAAATTTTGGGGTCTGGCTCATGGACCAATAACTATTGGTTACTTGGATCCTATTCCGTCGTGGAATCCTCAGTGAAAAACATAGATAAGATGTCACTGTGTTTCAGGTGACGTTGGTGACCTTCCTGACGTATATCTACACAGCTCCAGGTCACTACCTCAGCCCAAAGACAGCCTTTGTAGCTGTGGCCCTACTAAACAATCTTAGATTTGCGATGCTTGTCCTCCCAGAAATCATAGCTGACTTTGTGAGGGTAGGGTATGTTTTTATACTTTTCTGGCACTGACTCAACTCATAACATACGTTATATAATATATAACTATAACTGCATATAATTATATGAGGTCAGGCTGCTCAGTCAGCGAAACAAGAATCCAAGACTGGTATTAATAAGACCATGTGAGAGGAAACACAACGCCTCGACTTCCATTATATACAATTGCGTGAGATCTAAAATTCCGTTGCATTATATCAGCCATATTGTAACAAGCACAACACATTGTTATACTCTGGTAATATATTGATCTCTGTCCACAGTATAATGGACAGTATGATCACCAGATTGTCACAGTTTTTTATATTTAAAACTAGTTTAAAAGCATTAAAACGTTATGACTTAATCTATTATTTGACAGTTCAAAAATCCGGGGTATAGATCGCCAGTTACCAAAGTAAGGTCACCATACCAGGGACCATGGAGACTGACCATAAGGATTTATATCATCCCTCTAGCTGCTAGAGATTTTTGACAAATTCAGCCAAATATAAAGAACTGCTATTGTGCGATTTAAATCGGGGCAGTAATAAAACTACTTTGAATGAAATTATCTTACACACCATTATGTACAAATGTTATGTTATGCACTATAGTGAGAAACAAAGACACCCAATCACCTGTACCATCGTGTTCCTTATTGTTCTATTAAGCCATATTATTGTAATTTAATACCTTGTGTTACAGGCAAATGTTTCTATTAAGAGGATTGAAAAGTATCTAAACAACGGCGATTTAGATGACAACAGCGTGCAGAGGAGTAACAGACATGGTATTAACCTAACCTCCATATTCAGTGTTTCATCAACCCTATGGTTTAGTTATTCACCCTTATCCTTTTATTGACAGTACACGATAGCTACGCAATAAATCGCAAAGAGCAACGGAGAACGAATGCAACGATAAAACATTGTTCTGTCATGACGTTATTCCTGGAGATTCGAACACGCGTTCGCAATTTGGTGACGTAGTAAATTGGAGGACGTTATATTTTAGAGGGTAGTGTCTAGTGAGTTGTGCCCCATAGATGTAGCTGGGCAACGCAGATAAACGCAATGACCGAGCGATGGGGGAGAACGTGGGAGAGATATGACAGACAACCCACCCCTACTCTCTCAGAGCCCCATACTTATCCAAAGAATTGACTAAAATTGTGTCTCAATGCTTGACGGAAATGTGTTTTCGTGCACCGACGATATAGATCGTTGATCACGCTTTGAAACACTTGTTTTTTTAGGCCATCGTAATATAGTTTGAGTAGTCAGACTGTGACGTAACACGACATTCACTCACTCTCTCTAACGCCTGTAACTAACGTAAGCGTAATACGTCTCAGTAGGTATTTACTGTCGTGGTCTCTATATAATGCAGCTTGTATATGAAGATTCATGTATGGAGTCTATGTGTAATGATGTTCCTCCTCAGATGAAGCAGTGACTGTCACTGATGCTACATTCATATGGAATGAAGAGATGGGACCAACCTTGAAAGAGTGAGCATCTCAAACAATGGAACCTTGTTAGCTCAAAGTTCCTGGGTCCTTCGACAAAATATATCGAGTTGACCATAGTTCGAATTCGAGATAACCGGGATGCCGATATTAAACCATTGTGACCAATTGTGCTCCGAATCATGTTTGACGTACAACAACAGCAGACCGTGGAAGGACCCATAGCGTTAAGGGATAGATTCACATCACCAGAAAGCATGACGGATGAGCTTAGGGCCATCACCCACATGCCAATAAGTTATCGAACCGTGAATCGGTTGAAATCTGCAGTTCTGGATTAAATATCCATAGATTTGTCTGTAATGTGAAATCCGGCATCGTCGTAGTAGACGTACATATATCGGATATACCCATAGCGTTATGAAATTGATACAGATCACCATCAAGGATGAACAATTATTGAATAATCCTGATTTGTGTGGTGAACCTGAACGTCATGTGAGGCGACGTCATGGGCGCCTCACAATCTGGACCAACACTTTGCAGTTCTGCAAGAAGAGTGGCTCCGAATCACAACGGCTACCATCAGGATCTTTATTCAGAGCATGTCCAGATGATGCCAGGCAATTGTCCGGGTTCTCTGGGTGTGGTGCGCAATCTTTGTTGAAATTTACTCTTGATGTTATATAGGTGTCAAACATATATTACATGTAACGACTTTTAATTTTCATTTAAATCATCCAATATCTTATTGAAGATCATAGATATGTATCCACAAACTCAATACGTTTTGTTTATCAACTGATACATTATGATATTTCCTCAAATTCCATACATTTTCTACTAGCATCAATCTGAAAGTTAAGACTGGACAGCTGGTGGCCGTTGTGGGTCAGGTCGGTGCGGGGAAATCATCTCTCATCTCAGCTATGTTTGGTGAGATGCACAAATGTAAAGGACAAGTGTGTTTGAAGGTATGACATCCTGCACAGGGACACCAGGTGTCAAAATTGTAACACGCTATTCAAGCGAAAGAAATATGAATTTGAATCTATGTATTTATCGCAATTTGTAAGGAGATTTTATTGCATCAGAGAATCTAAACATGATTAATAATTCAACCATCATTGTTAACATTATTTTGTTGTGCAATTGCAATACTGATATTGAAATATGAAGTTCAACTGAAACATGTCACTGCCAACAGGGAAAACTTGCCTATGTACCTCAACAAGCCTGGATCCAGAACGACACCCTGCAGAACAACATCCTGTTCGGGAAGTCCATGAACAGAGAGCGCTATGATGAGGTGGTGGAGTGCTGCGCCCTGACTCCAGACCTGGAGATGTTACCTGGAGGAGACATGACGGAGATAGGAGAGCGGGTACTGTACATTGTATACTGGTGGAAAGAAGTTTGGAGTGGGTTAGAAAGCTATGTTCCTCAAATAGCACCATGGTAATTAAGGACGTATGCAGCATACTAATAATAACATTTCATCCATTTTCTTATTTTCCCAAAATGTACTTTTATTTATAATTTATGTTTACTAATGTGTATTCTGCTCTGTGATGTCTAGGGTTTGTTTATATTGCTGTGGATTGTAAAGTCGTGAATGGTCTAGATCTGTTTGGTGTCTGTATAAGCATACATGTATAACCCCATTATTGGTAAGACATCTGTTTAAACATTTTAACATTACTCCAGGTAGTACCAATAAATTGCACCTAAAATAATTTGTAGGAATTACTTTCATTAAAATTCCGAAGTTATTTTTAATAATATTATGAAATTGATGACCAAACTGTAAATTTATTCAATGGTTTCAGATGTTATTTGCATTAAGTATGAGTGCAAGGATATCGGAGAGTAGTCATTACTTCCGAACTGTCATCATGTTTCATTTATTTCTTTTGCTATTTTGCAAAATAGATGGACATTTCAGTACGAAGTACAATTATTATTTTTTCAAGAATTTTCGGGGACAATATTTTCGGGAAGAAATCCTCCCAGCTCTCCCAGGTCGTTAACAACAAAAGGTCGGTCCGTTTATACATAGAATAGTGTGGGTGTGCCCATTTCAGTGTGACTGGTACAAATTTATTTCAACTCCGACACACCAGGAGTGTAGACAGAATGTGGATATTCTTGTTTCATCAACAGGGTATCAACTTGAGTGGAGGGCAGAAGCAGAGAGTGTCTCTAGCCAGAGCTGTGTACAACGACGCCGACGTTTATCTGCTGGATGATCCACTCAGTGCTGTCGATAGTCACGTGGGGAAACATATATTTGATAAGCTCATCTGCAGCAAGGGCCTCCTTGCAAAGAAGGTATGTCTGCGTTTATCCGTATGTTAATACATAAATCGTCTTCATTGGTCAGACATGGGATAGTAATTCGTATGTTTTAGTAAAATACAGCTTGTATATTTTACATAGACGCGAATATTGGTCACTCACGGCATCCACTGGCTCCCAGAGATGGACGCTATCCTTGTGATGACCAGTGGTCAGATATCAGAAAAGGGGACGTATGAGGAGCTTCTGCAGCATAACGGACCCTTTGCCCAGTTCCTACAAACTTACCTCCTAGAAAGTAAGGATAACAACGACGATGACCCAGAAGGTAAACAAACCACTTGAGAAATACCAATTTATGATAATGGACATTACACTATCCACACTAGTACAACATCACGGACATAGGGGCACAGGTGGTTTAATCGTTTCATACTTTTGCGTCCCGTCATATTCGTCTGTTCGTGGGGTCCAATCCAAGATTCGCCCTAAATTTCGATTCTAGTTAGTCAGTCAATATTGAGAGATGGGATATATTCTATTCTATTTTCCAATAATGTCATATTTCTTAGTACTGAGTAAAGCTGCAACTTTTTCGATCCTTGGTTCGTGGACAGATGTAATTACATATGGTCGATGTAATCGGTTATTCAAAGAACGTACACTGAAAGTATCTGTTTCCATTAATGATATTGTGATGACGTTGTCAATGGTTTCCGCCTGGTCATAATGGTAACGGCAACCCGATTGCATTTCCGACCGCCTCCGTGGTCAAGTGGTAGAATAAGCGGAATGTCCGGGATACGTTCCTTGGCCGCGTCATACCAAATGATGTTAAAAGACGGTACTTGTTGTTACCCGGCCTGGCGCTCGGCATTTAGGGGAAAAAAGCAAGGACTGGTCGGCCTCAGTAAACTGTGTCTGAGTGAAGTATCCATGTTAAACTACAGCATGGTATCTCAGTGGGCTAGCACTATGAAATCGGCAATAGTCCGGACTAGCACAAGCACGCACGCACGCACGCACGAACGCACGCACGCGTGCGTGCATGCAGGTCGCCATATAAGTGCTATAATCTTGGACGCGACGTTAAACCCCATTTTGACTCACCTCACCGATTGCATTCCCTCCTGAAACATACTTCTTGCTCAGAGATGGAGATGAAGCGCATGGTGCTCCAACGACTCGAGTCCGTAACATCAGAAGAGGACACTGAAGGTGGAGTGAAAATAGCCCGCCTGTGAGTACACCACTAATGAAAACCACAGATCATTGATATGTGATGAAGAGAGTTCCAGAGAATAGGACCATTTGAACATTTCATGTTGGAAGAGACATACAAGGTCTAGTCAATAGAGGTTATCACGCGAGTGTGATTGGGGATGGTAAATATCCTGCATTAGGAATAAACATTGTATTTAGCGAGCCTTGGCGAGCTAAATACATAGTGTTTATTCCTAATACAGGATATTTACCATCCCAAAACACTCAAGCGTGATAACCTCTTTATTATATAATGTCATTATTTAATTCTATGCTTCAAAATCGCTTTCCCTCTCTCACTTACATTACCGAAACATTGCGAGTTTTCCTAGAATGCGCGCATTGATATTAATTACGTCACAGGGTAAGTGGTGTGTCAGTCGGACAGTGACAGTAGCCAATATAGTTCGAACTGAAATCTGTTTCTTATACAGTGACGAAGCAACATATACGCAAAACAACAATAGTTTTTAATTGCCTTTCGCGGCAATCCATCGGTCTGTCCGCTAGAGTAACTGCCCTTTGTCAAAGGAAAGCTACTCTAACCCTAGTCTATGAGACGTCACACGGCCACGGTCAGACGTTGACAGTCGGTCTATCCTGTCATAACGTTAAGAAGTGTAGTCAGATGTACACACAGCGACAAAGGGAAACAAGGTAGCAATTCAAACATATTTCGGCCAAATCCAACTATTTTAATTTGTGGAGAAGGTTTCAAGCCGCAGAGGTCTACAAGCACAGACATATGGCTACTGATCCCGCTTGGCTAGGCCTCGTGCCCTCGCAAAATTGTTTCGAAATTTATATCTCTAAAGTTGCCCAAACTTATAAAATGCCTTAGCTACGTCACAGTTAGACACTGATTTTCAGTATATTAGACTGTTGTTTGATAATGATAGCAATTATCCCTGTAGTTTATCCAGATTCCCGATGGTTAATTCTGACTCGATCGCCGAATGACGAGGGCGACGCCATGTTTGTTTATAAACACTGAAAGTAGTCCCTACTTGACCTTTGATATTTGCATCTCTATCCGCATTTGACCCCAACGGATATCGTTTTTATCCGTTGGCTTTATCCTGCCGAGAAACCTACCCATTATATGATAAATAGGAGTATCCTACGTGTATTTATCTATGGTTGTAAACATGTGGTTAAAGGGAGTAATGTCTTTATAGGTTCAGATTTGAAACGTTCGTACAAAAATAGCAATTAGGCAATTAATAGGCAAATTACACATGCATGTATATGACCGATATTTAATGGCGTAACGTACAAGAGGAAATGTTCCTACAGGAAACTGACAACGCTAAGATCAGTACGGACGAGCGTAGGTCAGCGTTGGTCAGTACACGTAGATCAGCGTAGCTCTGATATATCTGTGCAGTTCTACCTATTCGTACAGATCAGTGTATACCAACATTGGTCAGTGAAAATATGCCGAGAACGGTATGTCAGCGTAGTTTGGTGTCGAACAGTGTAGCTCAGTAGTGATCAGTGCAGTACTGTGTTGATCGGTGTATATCAACACCGTGTGATCATTGTTCATTTTAGAAAATCACTGACAGAATCACTTGAGAAGAGCTATGAAATGAAGAAGAGGAAAAAGGATCTCAAGGAGGAGGTTAAACAGGAGAGTAAGCTGGTGGAGGAGGAGAAGGTAGAGGAAGGGAAGGTGAGCTTTAGTCATTGCATTATCTTCACAGAAATACACCACCTACATGTATAGCTGTTGAAGACAATGTCAACACCTTAAATATAGGTTGTCTATCAGTTTTTAGAGACGAGTTGGTGAGTTGGGTTTCACATTGTTTTGAAAAGTATTTCAGTTATATCACGACGTGTTAAGTTTATGTGTCTTGAAAGACTGAAGTGAAACTGGACGTTTTACCTTGGAAAGGTAATGGTGGTGACATGCCAAGGATCCTAATGATGCCAATCCCATCAAAATCAGATCATTGTGCCATAAAGATAAGAGGATATCCCCTTACGGGTCACGTCAAAACGACCAATCGGAGCGTCGCTTACCAGATCGGGAAAGTGACAGTCGATATGTGTTTTCTCATCATACAACCTCGAAAAGCTTGACACGGGGTATTCCAAACGACAGTTATGTTCAGTTTTCAATTCTTTTGAAAACTTGTCGAAATATTTTTCAAAGCATAGTCTGAAATGGTCGCCTGTTTGAAACTAGTGACGTAAAGCTCGAGAAAGCTGCTTTCTGATTGGCTTATGTCGATTTCCTGTTAGTCATTTCATTCCGATATGACCTGTAATGTGATAAATGTGTAGTGGAGCGAAGATCTGATTTCAATTCGTTAGACGGGATGCAAATCTGAAGATGGACATTTTGACTGAACCATCTGTAATCTATCCAGAGATACGAACATTGCACTGCGTGATGCATTGTCAGAACTAATGATATTGTCCATGTTGTATTTATGATTGTCATGGGATCTTCATAGGAACTTCATAAGATCTTTAGATGATCTCACAGGATCATTATAGGAACAAATAGGATCATATGTCGGGGTGTTTTAGAGGATGATTTTTTTAGAAAGAAACCGCAGAGAAATTTTCGTTAAAGTGACTTTGGCATCGTACAGAAATCTGAAATGTGATAGTAAACAAAGAATTCATATCTCTTGCCTTTGCCCCTATTTTACTTTGTACCATATGTTACCATGTTTTTGTCGGTGAACACTAGCCTTTGCATGTGTTTGTGACGGGTGCCACTGGTGTGGCAGGATGCTCTTACCATTTCGCGAACACTTGTCGCATCATGTTGTCACTTTTATATTGATAATCTATTTCTTTTGTGGCTGCCATTTTATAACATTGTCGAAATATTATTCACATCCGTTGTCCAGGTACCATGGCGCGTGTATGGTGTGTATGCCCGAGCAGTTGGGATGGGCTTCTTGATATTCTGTTCCCTTCTGTACGTCGTGTATCAAGCCGCCTCTGTGACGTCTAGCATATGGCTCAGTCAGTGGACGGACAACCCTGACCTCAACAACCTGACGTTCTATCCCGCAAACAGCTCCCAGAGACTTGAGAAGAACAACTATTACCTTGGAGTGTACGGAGGATTCGGTGTGATGCAAGGTGCGTATGTATACAACACATTGCGATCTTGTTCATTTGTCTCACTTGATGGGTAGGACCTATGGTAAAGCCGATAGTCAGAGGCATATGGTAGTCTAGCATATGGCTGATGCAGGCAACAACCCGACCTCGACAACCTGACACGCTATCCTCCAAACAGTTCCCAGATATTTGAACTATTCGCTTGGGGTAAGTTGGAATAGATAAAGTGCCGGGGAGTGCAGTTGCATTGCGGTTAATCTTACCACAATATACATGCATCTAGGTTTAATACGATTGCAATGACTTCATCTGCTTGCACTATGGCAAATATTTCGACACTCCGCCAATATCTGGGTACAGCTTGATTTGATGTCGATGGTCGACATGATTTGGGGTTTCACTGCAGGATGTAAAATGTAACAACTACATTGGCATAAATGTACGATTTCTGAAAATATTAAGATTTCTAATATTTCTGGAGAAATATGTTTATCTGCCCGATAATTGTGTAAAAGAAATCTGTCAGTTTCATTTCGGAAATGTCATAAACCCATTTGTGGGCAAATGGTCTTGAATAAACATTAGGACAAAGATTACTTCAAATTGTCTCATCAAGATCTTCCCAATGATACTAAATTTGTTCAGAAGTTGAACTCCTGTACAGACAAGTTCGGACTTCTGACAATGACAAAGTTGTACCGTGGAAGAGAAATGATGATAGTAACAATAACGCATGCATATTTAAAATATTGTAGAATGTCACTCTGTGCTATGTAAGTACACAGCCATGGTTAATTATAACGTAACTCTTGCAGCTGTGTCCATGCTGACCTTCACCTTCCTGTGGGGTTTCCGGTCTGTTCACGCGGCACGTGTTCTGCATCACGGAATGCTGACAAATATATTGCAAGCTCCCATGTCCTTCTTCGACACAACACCAACTGGCCGGATTGCCAACAGGTTCTCTCAGGACATTGAAGCCATTGACACACTGATGTCCCATCTGATAGAGATCACATTTAACACGTTCCTGATGGTACTGAGCTGTGTGATAGTCATCTCCTACAGCACACCGATATTCCTGGCAGTCGTTGTCCCGCTCTTCATCCTCTACTACTTCATTCTGGTAGGAAGAGAACATCCTCAACATACTGAGGCCTAGTATTACTTGCTTTATGATTACTCTCTTTCAGAACCTTAGGGGCAGGTGGTCGAAATAAAATTAAGTTAAAGATGGAATTTCAATGATCTTTTTCAATGGTGTTGCCAGTCAGATGAAATAACAAAACATCATTTTATGTATAAAGATCAGTTATTGTGTTCCTCCAGCATCCAGGTGAAAATAGCTAAATAATATACAAAGATGCGTCAAACTGAGCTCCCTTCATTTATTGACATACTTGTTGGTCATTTCTTAAAGTAGTTAACGTCAGGGGTGGGGTGGGGGGCGCTCGGGAAGACATTTGTCAAAATAAAAAGATAAGGTTAAGGTAAATGTTCTTTTTTATTATTCTGCATGTATGAGTATGAATTTCCGTGATTTGTTTTTCATCACAGAAACCACTATCTGGATGTTTAGACATAGGATCAGGATCGTACTACTTCGACTTCAGACGCATTTGGTGTCGATCAATTAGACAGATCCCGTTTTATTCGAAATGCAATATGGTCATATGAAAAAGAGAAAAAATGTCATATGAAGATTAATATTACTGTACTTGAAAACATTTCGTATGTTCTCTGCTAAATCTTCCATGTCATTGGGAAGTTTCGATAAGCAGATATTTTAAAATGGAAACAATTGCCAACATAAACTGAAGAGCAGAAAAAACGTTACCCAACAACATTGCTTGTTCCTAATATTAGGACAGGAATGATATCAAGGAAAATGCTTGTATCGCTAAACGACATAATTAACATCATTGCAAGTTATGACGAGAATAGGTGAGGTGAAATGGTGTTTAACGTCGCGTCCAAGTATGACGAGAATAAGAACAAGAATTGTGTCCACAGTTTAGAGGACTGGGTCACTTTTTTAGTAATCGATCTACCATAAAAACTGACATATGCGCATGAAAAAGCATTTTCTGACTCTGAATTGGACATTTGAATACAGAGCATCTGTTCGTCCTCAGTATGCTATTGACATACAATGTACAAGTAAGTTTCGATGAATAAACATTTTGAACCTAGGAATAACTGAGAATATGTACTGACAACAGAGACTGTAATGATCCGATCCATACTGTATTCTGACTTTATCAGGATGCTGTGTTGCAAACTGGAGTTGTACCGAACGTCCTTACAGTATTCACTTCAAAACAGGTATTCTACATCGGAACATCTCGGCAGCTGAAAAGGATTGAGTCCAAAACCCGCTCCCCGATATACAGTCACTTCGGGGAGACACTGTCAGGGGCTAGCGTCATTCGAGCATTTCAGGAACAGTCCCGATTCATCCGGGCATCCGAGGAGAGAGTAGACAAGAACCAGCGATTTAGCTTCTATTCGTTTTCGGCTCAACGGTAGGTTATTCCAACATATATTCTCGTAATATGTACTGTAAAGCTGTGAAGTCGAATTCAATAAGTATCATACACAACATCTTTCTGTGTAGTTATGACTTTAATTTGCATATCACGTGACCGGACGTGACGTAATTGTGACACTTGCTGAAACCAATTAGTTACATATAACCAGTCTATGGTATAGGTATCAGTTTGACCGAATGTCAGGGGTTTCCTGAATTACGGTGTTTCACAACATACAGTTTTGTCCACAGATGGCTTGGGTTCCGTCTGGAACTGTTAGGTAACGTCATTCTGCTAGCCGCCTCCATGTTTGCCGTGTCGTCACGTGACTCCCTCTCCGGTGGCATTGTGGGTCTGTCGGTGTCGTACGCATTGCAGGTAAACATCGTTATAAAAAAATGTAATAATGTGATCGATAGTGTAGCAATAGTATATATTTATAATTGATAAATTGATAATAAAATCATGTCAATCTTCTTGTCAATTTTCACATAAAGATATCAGTGATATCGCTCGAGGAATAAAGCACATTTCACAGGGGCGAAATAGCCTCTACAGTGTATGCTGTATTATTCAAATGACTTGGGTGCAGTTGATTTCTTTGTAATGTACATACAAATCCAATGGGCGATCTTTTTGTTCCAAAGGGCAAGAACTCTCCTTTTGAAATGATATAAGCGACGGTCCAACCTGTCGTTTCCGGTCTGGTTCCCGGACAGTTATAGTGGCATGTAAAGACAGAGCCAAGCTAAAACGCTACCCTGTTGCAACTTCATTCAAAAACGGTCGTTTACTTCTTAATACTTTAACTAGCACCTATTTGCAGTGATTATTACATTAGAATACCACCATTTGTTCAGTCTTCAACTTAAACACGAACTGACACGATGGAAAATAGCTGGGGAAACGCCATAAAAAACGATATTAAGGCATTCTGTCAGCCTTGGGTAACATGTTGCATCGATTAATTACTAGTAATGCAAATTCATTTAATTTATCAGCCGTTGTGTTACACCGACAAGTCCTTAACTATTGTAGCATTCAAATAAACAAATAGTTTTCATTCTACTATGGACATCAAAGTAAGAAAATTGGAGAAATGGCTACATGTGCAGCACATGGACATCTTGACAGACCTTTACCACATCCGTGCCTTTACTTATAGTTGAAGAAGAAATAACCTTCAGAATTAAAAAAAACTGATTTCTATATGTTGCTTTCATATCAACATTTCATCTTGCATCTGATTTATTTTTCATTCCGACAATATGTTTTAGAATAAAACCAAATGAAACCTACCATGCATCTATCAACCAATCAGTTGCTTATTTGAAATATACAAACCAGTCATCATACTTTGAAATAAGAGATTTACCAATTTTATTCTGTCCCTTATAAAATGTATCCCATCCTTTAGTGCTTTGAGTCATCACAGGGGTAACTTCATTGATCCATTTTTTTTCAAATTCTGATAATCATGCTCTTAAAATAGTAGTAAAGTACAGAGATTTGTCCCAACTAACAACAAATCATATTGTCTACCCAACAAGATGTGTATATTATCTAAATAGATGTAAATGCTAGTTGTATCTTCTTGTTTCGGTAACATTTGTTGACAAGTTAGTTTCCTTACAACCCATGCACTGTCCTGCTTTAGCTACATATCTTGATTTTCATTCAACAGTACTTCAAGACACCTGTAGTACTAGTGTTAAATCTATTTATTAGATATTATTGTGATATAGCATCATAGTTAGTTTAAAATGAAATATTTTTATCATGACATCAATGCAAATTTAACCCCAAGATCATTCCATGTAGATAAGTCTAAATGCATTTATTTATGTTATTTGTTTTCGCATACATATGTTACAGATAATACTTACAATATAATGACGGCTGAAAAGTCATGAATGTGTAACCTGATACTAATAAGCATGAACAAGTATACAAAGATATCAAATATTATAACATTGTGCAGTGCAGATATCTATTGATGTAAAGAGAAAAAAGAATAGCATTCTTAATTTGTGTGTGTGTGTGTGTGTGTAGGGGTGGGTGGGGTGAAACATTAGTTTAGAATAAGGAAACTCATATATTAACACATGTTTTTGTTCTCAGATAACAAGCAATCTCAACTGGCTGGTGAGGGCGGTAACTGACCTAGAGACCCAGGTGGTGTCGGTAGAGAGGGTGGAGCAGTACAGTGGGATAGAGTCCGAGGTATGCAATGCAGTGGGGGTGGGTTGGGGGTCGTGTGGGGGTGAGGGTGGTTGAGGGCCTATATGAGTCAGTGAGTCTAAAGCGGCTTTGAACGGGTTTTCAGTTACATTACGCCGTGTCAGCTCGATGGAGGAGAAAAGGCCGAAGTGATGCGGGTCTTTACCACTTTGGTATAAGCCACAAGTACAGTGATTATTTTTGGGCGAATCTGGGACTCGAACCGACGGTCAACGGATCCTGGCTAAGGGAAGCAATGCTATACAATGAACTCCAGCGCCTTTAGCGACCCTTGCCTTTCATGTCATTTCATGTCAGGCAACACATATACATTTTATGCAAATTGTGTGAATGGTGGGCACTACCGGTAGGACAGGCCATGCTTATCCTTTTCGCGAACACCTGGTGTAATCACATATTCAGTTATCCATTAATACAGCTTTCACCGTTGTTTTGTGTTTTGCCTTTTACGCCCAATTGAATCTGTTTCGACGGATAATCTAGACTGGTTTGCCTTGAGCTTTGTTTTTACTGCATTGTCAAAAACTGAAAGGTTAATGTACTAAATTTCATGTATCATCACAACATATCCAATGTTCAGTGTTTAATTACACATGCAGGCTGGAGAATAAACTCCTTTTCCTTACAAGGCAGGGTGGAGCATACCCGAACGGCGTCCAGACGCCAGGTGGCCTCAGCAGGGTGTTGTTAGGTTCCTGGACTATTCCACTCGGTACAGACAGGGACTGGACCTGGTCCTCAAGGGCATAACCTGTACTGTCAACTCTGGGGAAAAGGTTGGTATGATTGATAGTCGGACCCCTTATTCGTGTGACCAAAGAGATTAACCAATCATCAAGGTGACAAGGGAAGGGTGGGTTGACTCAACGTCCTCTAAAACTGATGGCCAAAAGAAACATAACAACTTTAAAAATGAAATTGCAAAAATCTAACAACACAGGTTCAAGCTAAATCGATGCAAAACACAAAGTCAAAATACTGCAATGTTCTATGCAGAAAATGATACATGCCTATGGAACGGGTTTTTTTATAAAAGTGTGAAAAAGAGAAAAAACACGTGCCGCTTGGGAAGCCGAAACTACACGTGCAATAAGGGTATATAAATGATACGGACGGCACGTCAAACACTCACTCACACCACAGAAATGTCACGACTGACAACCGAACAACGCGAACGGGCCCTGGGTATGATACAGATGGGAGCCACACATGCCCGCATTGGTTTTGCAACTTTTGTTTGCTCCCGTGTTGCTGTACCTAACCCGCTGCAACGTTACAGAAAGACCGGGCAGAAATCAGACAGGCCAAGAACAGAAACACCCAGGGTAACTACGCCCAATGAAGATCGGTACTTGCATACTTTGCATCTCCGAATCGATTCCTGACAGTGACATCATCAGCGACGAATGCCTTAAGGCATATGGTTAGTCGACAGACAGTGGCCAGGCGACTCAGGGCTCAAGGACTTAGGGCTTACAGACCTTACAGGGGACAGTTATTGACAATGCAACATCGTCGACAAAGATGAGATGAGCCCGGACTGTACGTCGTTGGCAGCGACGTGATTGGCAGAGGGTCATCTTCACTGATGAAAGTCGGTTCTGTCTGTTCTGATTACCCTCTAAATAGACCCTGAATCCCGCGTACCATAAGGGGGTTGGCAGCCTTAAGAGTCCCTGCCGTTACACATTTCTAAAACAGTGTACTGACGCCAGATAAAACTAGACATTTTTTACATACGGAAAACTACATGGCATGCTTTGACCCACGTGAAAAATAAAAAAATATTTTTCAAGGCTTGAAGTAAGGTGCCTCATTGGGTTTGCATTCCAGGTGGGCATCGTTGGCAGGACGGGAGCGGGGAAGTCCTCTCTGACTCTGTCCCTGTTCCGGTTGATAGAGGCTGCAGGAGGAGAGATCAACATAGATGGCGTTGACGTCAGTACACTCGGGCTGCATGATCTCAGGAGCAAACTCACCATACTACCTCAGGTCAAACGCTGCTGCTGTCTCCTTGTATCATTCAAAGCACATCTTCTGTCTACATAGATGGTCGTTTATCTATCGTTTATCCATATAATTACATATTTTCGCCTCACAGCAATACCGTCTGAATTATAGTATGTCTAGATCATGTATTCGTTAGTGTCGTTGATTTTTCTGACAGATTGATGTCATTGTTTTCAGGACCCTGTGTTGTTCGCAGGAAGTCTGAGAAGTAATGTGGATCCCTTCAACCAGTATTCAGACGGAGATATCTGGCGGGCACTGGAACACGCGCATCTGAAGAAGTTTGTGGACACGCTTCCAGAAGGCATCGAGCATGAGTGCAGCGAAGGAGGAGACAACATGAGGTTCAAAATACAAGATAATTTCAGAACGGCTGCTGATTAACTAGAAAGAGACATACAAATAGATCTTGATAGACACACAGAAAAACACTGACACGGAGACACACAGGCGATGGATATATAAATGTTGAGTTATGAGTATAGTTTTACGCTGCATTTATCAAATATTCCCCCAATACCACGTAAAGGACACCAAAAATGAGTTTCACACATTGTACGTATTCAAGAGCAATCGAAGTTAAACCCAAGCCTTCGGTGCGTCGAGAAAACGCTTTTGATAGCCGTTTCAACTTAAAGACTTGAAATTGAAATCAGTTTCGGTCATTATACAATATTTTCTGAAATATACGCTCGTTTTTCAGTGTTGGTCAACGGCAACTCTTGTGTCTGGCCAGAGCTCTTCTGAAGAAGACCAAGATCCTGGTACTGGACGAGGCTACAGCTGCCGTTGACATGGAAACAGATGACCTGATCCAGCAGACCATCAGGTCAGAGTTCAAGGACTGCACAGTGCTGACCATCGCCCACAGACTCAACACGGTCATGGACTACGATAGGTAAAACAAAACACACAAAAAGTCAATCATATATCTTTTACCATTCAAATGTTATTAAGCATTCATTATATACATACATGCTACGTATACGCGTATGCGCTTTATGATGCATGTGTGAATTTATTTTTCTTTGATATTCAGGATCCTGGTCCTGGACAACGGCTGTGTGTGTGAGTTTGACACACCCTCCTCCCTGCTGCAACAGCCTGATAGCATATTTTACAGCATGGCCAAAGCTGCAGGGTTGACCTCATAGTACAAACATGGCCTTGTAGGCTTGCTGGTGTGTTCAGATACAGAGATCAGAAGAAAATGCTCTATGAAAGAAATGAAACGAGGCTCCATACACATTGCTGGCACGACTGAGAATAAATATGGTTATTCAGTCAGGCTACCTTTTTTATTCGTCAGCTTCAACAGAAGAGAAATGGCGAAATTGTATAACATTTTGTCTTAACTAGTGTATTTTTCGTCTCGCTATACTTCATTTGAAATAAATGTCTGCGCTGAAAGTCGTCCCGTCGTATGGTGAAGTTTTGTTTGTTTGTTTGTTGTTTAACTCAGCAATATTCCACCTATATGACCGTGGTATGCAAATAATCGAGTCTGGACCAGACAATCTAGTGACAACATGAGCATCAATCCACACAATTGGGATCGATGACATGCATCAACCAAGTCAGCGAGCCTGACCACCCGATCCCACATACTCTCCTTTTGTACTGTCATCTCCGCATATGTTTATCTCGATACCGATTATCTCTACAGACTTCGTTTCAAACCCTGTAATCTCTGTACAGTGTTTGGCTCGAATCTGAAAATTCAACGCGTTGTCTTTCTTGAACCATGTTCTTTCGACATAATCTTCTCTAGAGCCCTTATATATCAGCGATTGTTTGGTTTATCTCATAAACACTCACATTGACGTACTGTCCACCTAGGTGCCCAACACGTTTTGTCTCGAAACCCAATAATATCTACACATTGGGTGTCTCGAACCCGGTTGTCGCTTAATGTATTTAAGGCTTGAAATTCAACAACATAACGATTTATATATTTACTTGTAATATTATGTTCAAGAGTTTATTTATTTTCATTATAAATGTAACATAATGTCATTGTGATTTTATATCCTGGCAATGCCCATACTATATTCGAGTCCACAACAAATACTTGTGTTTTGGTCGTTAAATATAAAACATGTAAGTATCTGATCTTATCCAAAGTATGAAAAAGTACGCACAGACTTTGTGGTCGTGTACATAAATGCAACCACAGACATAAAGCTCCGGTCCTAAACTAAGATAACAGTCATTATAATTTGAAAGGCGAGAGTGATTACTTTCATCGGTCGCACGCCTTCATGGGGTTATGATAACTGATATTTTATGAATAATAATAAGAAGAAGGAGAGGAGGAAGAAATAATATATACATTTGTATAGCGCAGCATTCACTCTACGAATTCATGTTGTTTACCCCAGCGAATAGGTTTCAAAAAGGGATATTTATGTGCAGTTATGGTCTAATACATCCCAGGGAGTTGAGAATGCAATTTGAATGCATACTGATTAGTCGAATTTGATGTCGTTCCTCAAAACGCAATTTTAGTTTCGAAAGAAATTTTATGAGGAACAAATTTGCATTTACACCGCCGTTATCAGCTTCCGACAACATACGTCCCAGCGTATGGCTTGGTCACATGGCTACTCACATTGCACAACGCCGAGACATAGGTTTCCCCTATCAACAGCCCGCTAAAGCTTCATTCGTGGCCTTTGTTACATCGGAATGTTGACGGAGAATTAGGTTACTTCTTAAACATGACAGATACACATCTGGAGGTATGTTTTGTTTACTATAACTTAACTCAAGGTATCTTAAATGTATACAAAACACTATCTGACACTAATATATAATGATCATGATGAAGAAAATATAGAAATAATAATGAAGCCTCATACAAATAACCAACAAAGCATAAAGTTGTTTGTATACATGTAGTTTATATTATTCCGGGGAAATTTCCAAGTATTCTATAAATAGCAAACTAAAAATAGTACACTCCTTTTCGAGTCTCTGATCTGGGTTTTACTGATTATATTTGTTTGATTATCAGTTTCAAGTTGCTGTGGCAATGATGAATAAATGAGTTGTGTTTAACGGTACATTCAACATTCAACTATGTCACGGTGGCCTGTAATTACGGAATCATATTGTGTAAGGGGTCTTAACCGATCTAACCGCCTCCGTGGTCTAGTGGTAGAGCGTCCGCCCGGAGAGCGGAAGGTCCGGGGTTCGATCACCGGCCGCGTCATACCAAAAGACGTTATCAGATGGTACTTGTTGTTACCCTGTCTGGCGTTCGGCATTAAGGGGCTTAAACAAGGACTGGTCGGCTCGGAGTCAGTATACTGTGTCTCAGTGGGGTATTCATGTTAAACTGCGGCATGGTATCTCCGTGAGCTAGCACTATAAAAATCGGCATCAGTCCGGACTAGTACAAGCAGCCACACAAACACACACACGTACATGCACGTCGCTATATAAGTGCAATAATCTTGGACGCGACGTTAAACCCCATTTCACCTCACCTCACCTCCAAACCGATCGATAGGCCTATCATAATGTCAATAGTCACTGCTCGACATATACGTATACCTTGTGGAGATTTATACATGAATAGATAGAACAACACATTACAAATATTGTATCTTTGTCTGTAGGTGAAGATATAAATTAAGAATTGGCTTCAATTATTTTTTAGTTTATGGATATATTTACTTTATCCGCGTAGCGCGCTTGTATGTCTGAGTGTGTTGTTTAACGCCGCACTCAGCAATGTTCCAGCTATATGACGAGTCTATATAATCGAGTCTGATCCAGACAATCCAGTGATTGAGATCATGAGCATTGATCCACGCAATTGGGATACGATGACATGCATCATCCAAGTCAGCGAGCCTGACCATCCGATCCCGTTAGTCACCTCTTACGACACGCATAGTCGCCTTTTACCGCAAGCATGGGTTGCTGAAGACCTATTCTACCCCGGATCTTCACGGGTCGTGTTATGTTGAAGGCTGTTATTGCAACATACTCTCTTTTTGTATTGTATTTGTACTGTCATCTCCGCATATGTTTATCTCGATACCGATTATCTCCACAGACTTCGTCTCAAACCCTGTAATCTCTGTACAGTGTTTGTCTCGAATCTGAACATTCTGAAAACGACAAGCATAGTCGCCTTTTACGGCAAGCATGGGTTGCTGAAGACCTATTCTACCCCGGATCTTCACGGGTTTGTTAGCGTAGCGGATTTGCAATGTATGACCACAACCATCAACGCATAAAGTTTGATTTTTTTATTATAGACGGATGATGCTTATTTAACCATTAGTCCACTCTCGGCCGTGGCCTATTTCTAGGATTATGGCAACATAAACGCATACAAATGCTTCGTTAGTTTCTTTTCGTTCATCTCTTCTGTATATTATAGCATGTATTTTTAAAAATGGTCTACACTAACAACTGTTACTCAGAGGGGTGGAAACAATATTATCTAATGTGACGTTTGAAATGACAATATATAAATTTAAAAATGTATTTTCTTGTTGTGGCACTACGTTTCTTTCTGTAGGTCCTTAGGGACCAACCAATTGATATTCTGGATTGGGATTTTATCGACAAAATATACATTGGCCCAGAATATAATTGAAAAAAATAATTATGCTTCTGACTATTCTGACCAGAAAAATATACATTGTTGCTAGGTGTTTTTCTTCATTAAATATTCAGGCACATAGCTTTAATTACCAAATATCTAGTTTTGCAGCTGTACATGTAGCTGAAAAAAATCAGCCCCAAAAGAACATCCAATAGTCGGCCCGTTATTCTGCGTCCGAAAGGAACAAGTTTAGACGAGTTAGTTCGATGTAGCTGTATTATCAAGATAATTTCTGGGTATGTCTGCAGCCGACGCCATGTCCGGAGATCAACGCCTCGAAGCTGTCGCGACTCTTCTTCTTGTGGTCTAACGGGTAGGTAGGCGGTGTCTAGACTAATATTTAACCCCAGAAATTAAGTTATTATACATATTTTAAAATATATATCTACAAAATAAAAAAATAAAATCCATATGGAGCCCAGAACAATGCTTTATTTCAGGCTTGCCAAATCATTCTAGACTTGAGTTGGATTCATGTTTAAGTTATTCTCTAGGATCTGGGAGACAGACGAGCATTGGTCATTGCCACCGGGATGAAGCGTACATAGGTAGTGAGTTGGGTTTAACACCACTTGGGACAGTCATATCACTGTGGGTTGGCATAATTGGCGATGGAAGTTCGAAGCTGATCGCAGAGTGAGTAGGCGAGTTTGGATAAACTCCGCTTTGAACAGTATTTCAGTTAAATAGCGGCGCATCCGCTTGGGAGGATGCTGGTCTTGGACGTTTAGAAATATCATCAGGACGAACTGGGATTCGAACGCTACTCTGCGCCGCCTTGCACGACTCGGTTACATGTGCCCCCCATAGAGCGTTGATGCTTGACTCTTTCCAGGGGTATTTTGTTTGTTTGTTGTTTTACCCCACACTCAGCAATATTCCAGCTATATGACGGCGGTCTGTAAATAATCGAGTCTGGACCAGACAATCCTGTTATTGACATCATGAGTATCGATCCACGAAATTGGGATACAATGACATGCATCAACCAAGTCAGCGAGCCTGACCACCCGATCTTGTTAGTCGTCTCTTATGACAAGAATAGTCGCCCCTTTAACGGCTTACATGGGTTGCTGAAGACCCCGGACCTTCATGGGTCGAGTATTTTGTTCACTAGGGTAAACTAATGGTTCACATGTTCTCAGCTGCTCGTCGTACAGGATGCGATAATATCAAGATTTAAACTTAATCAGAGAACAATTCGATTTCATGTTTTCGTGAAATAATCCTGTTTTATTCTCATTGGGTGAATTTATGAAACGTTACATACACTGTCAGCAACATGAATTTATTCATTTTTTGTTCTTCTAGGAATAACAATAAAAGGTGAATTGAGGGTGAACACACTAAAGAAATGCGTGCGTAAAACAAACACCCCGCAACTTGTATTTGCAGGTTATTAAAGAAGGCGTACACAGAACCACTTACCGAGGACACACTTTGGGCCATAAACCCAAGGGAGAAATGTCAAAATGTGTGCCCAAAGTTCGAGAGAATCCTTTCCGGAGGGAAGCCAAGATCAAGATCTGCAAGGTCAGTTTTGATCAGAGGGACTAGGATCAGTCCAACTGACAAAGGAAGCTTAATTCATTTAATTCAGTATTCACTTTGCCTGCTAAGTCATGCATATGTGATTTTTTGTATAAACTTAGTGCCCAAAGAAAATACATGATTGTCTACAGACCGCCGTCGCATCCCAGTACAACTTTTTAGTGTTCCAATCACATAGTTTCCACAGCTATTTTGCCCTTTACACCAAATGTAATCTGTTTCGGCAGATAATTTAACAAGAGTTGCAAGTGATCGATGGACCAGAAGATCCAGTGACACTAGTGCACTAAAATAAAACTGCAACCACATGACCCCTATCATGTTTGATAAGTGCCGTAAAAGCATATTGATTTTCAAAGATAAGATGTCTGATATACTCATCTGCAGTGGCGAGTTCGTTTATTTTAATTTTTAATTTTTTACATCAAATTATATTTTCAAATGTAAAACCATGTAGAAGTATTCTTTGAGTGCCAACTAAACGCCAGTACAGTTCATTGTTTGGATATGATATCCTATAACTCATATAATGAGCTATTTTCAAGTGAATATCAAACATAGGACAAAATAGTGAGAGGTATCGTTTCCTTTGCTCTTCAGTTTATGGTCATAGCAGTTAATAACAGACAAGTACCATGTCTCGGTTCCCCACATCATACAAGTGCCAGCATCTTCGGTTATTAAGATTATTAAAGCTCCATTATTATTATATTAAATACCTTTGACCCATTCACCACTACAGACTCGTTTTCGTCGGCTTCGAATGACATGACACTAAATTAGCTGTACATTCACATGAGAGAGAACGCCTATGAATGATTATTTGTCGTAACATGGATTGAGATGACGTCACTGCCGAAACAAGCTTTGATGGCGAATGGGTAGTTATCTAAATAGCGTGGATGGTTGGTTAGTATGTTGTTTTACGCCACACTCAGCAATAGTCCAGCGATATGACGGCGGTCTGTAAATAACCGAGTCTGGACCAGACAATCCAGTAAGGGATATCATGAGCATCGACCCACGCAATTGGGATCGATGACATGCTTCAACCAAGTCAGCGAGCCTAACCACCCGATTCCCTTAGTCGCCTCTTACGACAAGCATAGTCGCCTTTTACGGCAAGCTTTGAGTTGCTGAAGACCTATTCTACCCCGGATCTACACGGGTCTTAATAGCTTGGAGATATACTATACCCTAGATACTCGGGGATTCCTCTTAAGGTATTTCAATATTCTCTCCTGCACATGGTTCTTTCACATGGTTATATTTATATGGAGGGTAAAATTGTAACGACCTTTTACGTCGAATCTCATGTTGTTCATCATATCATTTGTTTGCTCAAGGTTCGATTACGTTTTGTACACAATTTTGAGTGAGTGAGTGAGTTGGGTTTAACGCCGCTTTTAACAGTATTCCAGTCATATCACGGCGTCCCAGCTTAATGTGGGAGGAAAGCCCGAAGTGATGCAGGTCTCAGACGTTTACCACTTCGGTGAAACCTACGAGCGCGGGTATGGTGCTGACAAACCTAGGAACATAATCGGGATTCCGGAATTCAAACCCACAATCATAGGTTTCTGGCGTGCCCAAGAGACGCAACTCTGCACAGCGAATCGTGGCGCCTTAGACGACTTGGCCACCCGTGCTCCCTACACAACCTTGAACGTCATACATTCAACCTTTGTTTCAGACATTCATCAAGAACAGAGGACATTCCATCAAGTAATCAGAGTACCACGGGGTCCAGTTCTGACATAAGACACAGAAAGGGAACAAGGGAACAAACAGTAGGACATGCTCACGTCAAGACCCAGGATTTTACACAACCGAGTCAGAAAGTCAAACACCTTTCACTGTGGATGGTTATTATCAAGACATTCTGGAAAGAGTTCTTCAAAGCAATGGGTCTTAGATTTTTGCAGTATATAATAATTTGGACAACAAATCCTTTCTTCATGAGGTAGGTACCATATTCTCAAACTTAAAAAGGGGCGACCGGGTAGCTCGTCACGCCGAAGACCCGGGTTCGATTCCCGACATGGGTACAATGTGTGAAGCCCATTACTGGTGTCCCCCGCCGTGATATTGCTGGAATATTGCAAAAAGCGGCGTAAAACCATACTCACTCACTAACTCACTCAAACTTAAATTATTCATGTTTTCATTATACATGCATTTATTCTCGATCTAAATCAGTGCAAACATGTTCGTGTTCATAAAATTTTGATTTCTTGAAAGTACACACCTCGAAACTACAGTTTAATGTATATAATGTTCAGTGAGGCAGAAGACTGATCCACATAGTCTTTCTAAAGACTAAGTTTACATTTCTCACACACGTTATGGTGACATTTATGTCTGCTTATTCCCAGCTGGGGTGGTCGGGTAGCCTGGTGGTTAAAGCGTTCCTTCGTCACGCCGAAAACCTGAGTTCGATTGGAATAATGTGTGAACCCATTCCGGCTGTCCCTTCGGAGATATTGCTCGAATATTAGTAAAAGCGGCGTATTCATTTTTATGTATTTATAAGTGTACCATTGTGCATTGGATGACCTTTAATTTTTTATATAAACTGCAATTTAGTGTTACATTTCCTTTTACCTCATAATTTCAAAAACGCATCTTTCCTATATTCTTTATGGAACAAGTTTTTGAGACTTGTCATGATGAGATGTAAACCTTTCACGTAAGTGGTCCACAGTAGTACATGATTAAAACGGAGACTGATATTACGTTAATAGTTGTAGAGGATTATTACGTCCACCATGTAATAAACGCGAGTATAGAATTATTCTGTACAACTAATTAACCTATAGCGAACTTAACATCAATATATTTTTATAACGTGTGCAACAAATTGATGACAGCCAGTGTCAGTCACCATCAGTGTGAATCGAAGAATCGAACCAATATCTCTTCCTTACACTTACACATTTGTAAACCTCAGTTACTGTTCATGTCTTCTTATATGTATTAATAGGTTTGTCAGTACCATATCCGTGCTCTTGGTAACTTTCCCGCATCAATCTGACACTCACTCACTCACTCACTCTGACATTCACTCACTCACTCAATCTGACACTCACTCACACCATCAATCTGACACTCACTCACTCACTCGTACATTTTAGCTACTTGATCGACACAACTGATGACCCCAACTCCAGTGTGTGGATGGGGATGCTGCTGTCCATGGTCCTGCTGCTGCTACTGATGACGGCGGGGGTATTGTTTGAACACTCCTTCTTCAACAACCATAGCCTCGAGATGCATTTACGCTCATCACTCATGTCATCTGTTTTCTAAAAGGTTCGTTTAATATCTACTTGAAAAGCCCACTTCTTTATTCGTGGTACTTTAGACCACACTGCCATTGGTTCAAGCAATATATTCAATATTGACTGAGTGCACCCATGTCTTAAAGACGTTCATTCAGGTAAACTTCGTTTTGAGCACAGGTGGAACAATTTCGCAATGCGATCTTAGCTCAATTACTGCCGTAACTCGCATATGTTAACATATGTATTAGTTTTCCGAAAGATAACGATCGCTTTGTGATAAAAACCATTGGTGTAATTATCTCTTAAAGGTTTGTGTATGTTTTGTTTGGTTTGTTTGTTGTTTAACGCCGCACTCAGCAATATTCCGGCGGTCTGTAAATAATCCAGTCTGGACCAGACAATCCAGTGATGGATATCATGAGCATTGATCCACGCAATTGAGATCAACCAAATCAGCGAGCCTGACCACCCGATCCCGTTCGTCGCCTCTAGCGACAAGTATACTCGCCTTTTACGGCAAGCATGGGTTGCTGAAGACAAATTCTACCCCGGATCTTCACGGGTCGTTTGTATATGTAATACTCCGAATGTAAATTATTCAGCTGTCCAGCTAATAACTCTAAAAGTCACAATCTGGTACAATACAGTACGTTTTCGGCAAAAGAAGAGTTGTGACGGCATTAGTGAAGATACCATAATGTTCCACCTTTTTCTTGAATTTATCTCTTCCATCTTCGATATTCTACCATGTCAGTGATAAGAATATGAATGATCAAAAGGCATAGAATATTTTTAGGAATGTTGTTAAGATTATTAACGAACCTTTAAAATAGGTTTGGATTATTTATGTACATACAAGTAATGTAACGGCAATGCTCTCTCGGGGATATAATGTTTTCTGCAGATATGGCTGTTGAAATAACTCATTCGCCATTTTTGTATTCAAGTTAATAATTCTTTTCTAGAACAAGAAACATATTTTCTGAAATTTGAACAAAACGAAATATTACGAATATCAAACTTTAGAAATTTTTTCTCACGTTATAGCCATACACTATGTTGAGTGTGGCTTTACGTCGCCTGTGGTAATATTCCATCAATATTACGGCGGGAGACACAAGAAATGGGCTTCACACATTGTACACATGCTGGGAATCGAACACAGGCCTTGAGCGTAAGGGCAGAACCCTTTGACCACTAGGCTACCCAACTGTTTGTAGTTGCGACAAATGCAACCACGAACAGGATATTGGACAAATCAGCAGCCATTGCATCACCGGTAGAACAGTGTACTTGCCCTTTTCGCGAACACCTGGTATTATCACTGTATTTTCAGTTATCCAATCATATAAGTGTCACCGCCATATTGGCTTGTACCCCAAATGGAATCTGTTTCTGCAGATAATCGAGACTGATTCTTCTCTGGCGTTTCATATTTAAAAAATGTTCCATGAAAAATACGGAGCTACAATGTATATATTTCAATTATTGTGTTGAAGGCAATGAATCTCCACTGGAAGTCCCGAAAGAAATACTCAGTAGGTGAGATGACCAACTATCTATCAAGTGACGCTGACACCATCGCCTTCCGTCTGACCCACTTGACCGAGGTGATGTACACTCCACTCCACTTCTTTGTGGTCTTCTCCCAGCTGTTCCGCATCCTTGGTCCAGCAGCTTGGTTTGGACTGGTCATCGTCGTCCTCATTATGCCCATCAATGTGTACATCGCGGTCAGAATGCGGGATCTGTTCGACGAGAACTCCGATAACAAGGACGAGAAGATGAAACTGATGAATGAAGTACTTACAGGCATGAAGGTAGAGATGGTCCTACAAAATTCCGAAATATGTTCACGCTTGTAAAATATTGTGAGTGAGGGGCAAGTAGGGTTTAACGCCGTTTTTAACAGTATTCCGTAGTCTAGTGGATAGAGCGTCAGCCAGGACATCGGAAGGTCGGTGGTTCGATCCCCGGCCGCGTCATACTCAAAGACGTTAAAAGATGGAATTTGTTGTTACCCTGCATGGCGCTCGGCATTAAGGAGCTAAAACAAGGACTGGTCGGCTCGGAGTCAGTATAATGTGTATGTGGGGGGTATTCATGTTAAACTGCGGTATGGTGTCTCATTGGGTTAGCACTATAAAATCGGCATTAGTACTAGTACGGAATAGTACAAGCACACACACAAACACACACACACACACATGCATGAACGTCGTTATATAAGTACAATAATCTTGAACGCGATGTTAAACCCCCTTTCACCTCATCTCACTTGACAATATTCAAGTTATATCCAGTATGTCGGTTCAATGTGGGAGGAAAGCCCGAAGTAATGCAGGTCTCAGACGTTTACCACTTTGATAAAACCGACGAGCACGGGTATGATGCTGACAAACGTAGAAACATAATCGTGGCGAACCGGGATTCGAATGAAATATATAGTATTACTATACGCAATCCATTCACAGGGGCAGAGTTCATCTTAATATGATATGATAGTTTAAGGTGTAAAAAAACTATTAAGATATGTATAAGAATGTAAAAAATGTTTCAAACTATCTGAAAGAAAATGTATCAAAATATAATTTCAAACATTAAGTTAAAGTAAAACACGCCATAATAAAACAAATTTATAATGAATGGGTACTCGGTAGGATGATATTGTATTGTGACTGTTAATGCCTCCATGGCCTTATACGGCAGCTTGTTTTGTATACTTCCAAGGGGTCTGAGAATGAAAATTGACTGCTACTGATCCACAGACCGTGGTAATGATAATGTAGCACTGTGAGTATTCACTTGTCGAATTGAATCTGGTGCATTATAAAGGGACCTCTGTTATTAAAATTATTCCCATTGCCCAATCTTTAAGAGTCGTAAGGTGAAAGATTGGTAACGTCATTTTCGTGTTATGAACATTTCCTAATTATAACATCATGAGTTTGCTATGTAAGGTATTAAAGCTCCATGCCTGGGAGAAGTGTTTCGGAAACAAGCTTGACGCAATCAGGACCAAGGAACTGTCTGTTCTGCGACGTCTGTACGTGGTCCGAGCCTTCAACGTCTTCAGTTGGAACGCATCACCATATGTGGTAAGATAGGCCTTCGATGTATAGTGGATATACTATGCGTGTGTATAAACGTTTTGTCAAGCGTTTACACAAATTGATGCCCCCCCCCCCCCCCCCCCCCCCCCCCCCCTGTTGTTGGCCATGCCATTCAAAACATGTCCTGTGAGAAAACATGTTTCAATTTAAGGAAGATAATTTATGGATGTCAACTTCCAATTGTCCGATGCAATTCCTAATTTTGACTTGTACCACATGGTCCCGTGTTTTTGTCAGGTGAACAATTGACTTGTCTTTGCACGTGTTTGTGACGGGCGTTATTGGTTGGACAGGATAGGCTCACCATTTCGCGAGCACCTGGTATCATCTCTATTTGATACTGATTCATAAACACATGCTCGTGATATAGTCGGAATCGTCGAATGGACTCTTGACAGATATATCTTATGCATATGGAAATGGTTATGTCGCCTTAATTACATATATATCACTTATTTTTACCGTCAGTCATTCAAATATTTGTATTCCATCAATGGTAAAGCAACTTTTACATCTATCACCAGATTTCCGTGGTGATGTTCTGTGGGTTCTACTACCTGAACGGAGACAGTATTTTGTCACCGAGATCTGCCTTCGCCGTTGTGTCACTCTTGAATCTACTCCGATTTGCCATCAGTCAAACGCCAGAAATCGTATTTGACATCACCAAGGTAAACTGCAAATTTACCTTTGCCACATCGTATCGTAACATCGGGCAATGTATTACTTGATAAAGTACCCCGAGGGCATACCTGGTAAGAGTATAGGTTCCAATCTATCTGACCCGTGAAGATCCAGTGTAGAATAGGTCTTTCAGCAACCCAAGCTTGCCGTAACAGGCGACTATGTTTGTCGTAAGAGGCGACTAACGGGATCGGTAGGTCGGGCTGACATGGTTGATGCTTGTCATCGTATCCCGTGGATTGATGCTCATGAAGTCAATCACTGGATTGTCTGGATCAGACTCGATTATTTACAGACCGCCGTCATATTGCTGGAATATTGCTGAGTGCGGCGTTAAACAACAAACAAACAAACTATTTACTGCGTAACGACTAATCATGGATCCATATTTTCAGGCGCGTATTTCAGTCAGAAGACTACAGACATTTCTACGGGAGGACGAGTTTGAAGCGAGTTCAGAAGGAAATGATCACACTGATGGTAGGTCAAATTCTTTCTACAAATATTGTCAACGAGTCACGGTATTAAATATTTACTGACTTATTGGCTGAGATTTAATCGATGTGGTTTATATTAAATCCAATACCCAACTTAATATGTCCGTAGGTATTGCTATCAAGATGGAGAATGCCAATTTCTCCTGGGATGACGGCAGTTCTAAACCAGCCTTAAAAGCGTAAGTAATGTACAATTCTTGAAAAGTGCCATAAAAAATCCATTTCATATGATAACAGGAAATATGAGGTATCCTACGAATTTAGTATAAAAGGTTTACGGTACGAACAGACTAGAGGCCAATCATTTGATATTATGTTTTGGGTGTGGATTGTGTGTGTGTTGGTGGTATGATTTAGAAAGCAATAATTTGTTCCTGAAAATTGTGTGAAATATTAACTTGATCTGAGGGAGGGTTTACATAAATATTTTTGTAACATTCGCAAACATAAGTGCCAGAAACCCATCCTCACCACCCCGGTATTTCATAGTCTACCCCTGGTAGGATTGGTCGTGACGAATACTGTCTTTTTTGTGACAGTGTGAACCTGCGTATCCCCGAGGGGAGTCTGGTGGCTGTGGTCGGGCATGTGGGGGCGGGCAAATCTTCACTGGTAGCAGCAGTGATGGGGGAGATACAGAAGGTTAAAGGTCATCTCAGTGTCAAGGTATGCTAAATAAATAAGAGGTCAAACAAAATTTATGTCTCATAATACATCGTTAGTATTTCAGTGTCCAGGTACATGTATACGTGGAGGCGAGTCCAAAACATGATCGTTGCTTTTGCAAATGACTGTCATGGGTTATATAAATTCAAATGTTTGACAATTTATCCATTTTGATGAAATTAGATTAAATCGAAGGAATCAAAGAAGTGGGTCTCACGCATGCCAACAATAGTAAAGATCATGGTTAGAACAGGTCTTCAGTAAACCATATGCTTGTCGTATGGGACGACCACCGGATCAGGTGGTCTGGTTGACTTGGTTGATGCATGTCGTCGATCCCCATTGTGTGGGTCGATGCTCATGATATCAATCATTGAAATTACTGGCCATGACTCGTTTATTTACACACCGCCAGCGTGAAGCTGGGAGTTTATTTGTCTACTGGCACTGAAGAATTGTTTTTCAACTTTTGGTCAACGCTGCGTTTGTTCTTACCTTTAGGCCTGTAAATGAGAATCTGTAAATTAAGCATTGAATAGTAATTAGGACAATGCATGGATAATAATGAATATTTATTGCTGTAGAAGTAAAAACCTATACATTGAAAGCATTTAGTTATATATGTACTATGTTCTAATACATAAACACTGAAACAAATATACGAACAAAATAAGAAAAACAAAACAAAAACATAGAAACATGTGGCTGAAATATTGCTGAGTGCGGTGTTAAACAACAAACAAACAAGCTTTACACTTTATTTTTAATACCTAAAATGATGTTTCGATATCACACCTCAAAATGATGTTTCAATATCACACCTCAATATCACGCGGACAATATAAACTGACGTCCAAAAGAAACTGTACCAGAGTTTGAAATCACTGTTGCTCAAAAACAACAAAACATACATGCATGAAGTAAAGTGTATTGAGAAGATCAATATATCAACATAATCATCACTGAAAATGACAATCATACCGCTACCGAGAATGACGTCAGAGCCCCCCAAAGTTGGGTGTGGTACAAAACTCGAGCTTTCAGAATCATGGACAATAGGCAGAGTACATAAACAATCGCTCAATTTCAATAACAAGTCATTAGTAGGGTTTGTGACCCCCAAATGCCTCAATACACGCAAAAACTCTTCGACGCACAGAAAAAGTCAGTCGTCTGATGAGGTCACATGGGATTTGACGCCATTCTTCTTGGAGGGCCAAGATCAGTTCTTGCCGGGTGGCTGGAGAGTGTGGTCGTTGTCGAACACGACGATCCATCAAGTCCCAGAGGTGTTCTATGGGGGGACATGTCGGGTGAGCGTGCAGGCCACGGCAGGTCGTTGACGTTGTTGGCTGCGAGGAAGTTAGTGACAATTCTGGCTGTATTGGCTCTAGCGTTGTCATGCTGATAAATGACACCACGTGGCTGCTGTTGAAGAAATGGTAGGACAACTGGAAGAAGAATGTTATCCATGTAACGCTGAGCTGTCAAGTTTCCGTCAACGATGACCAGCGGTGTCCTCTCCTGCCCACAGATCCCTCCCCACACCATGACACTCCCTCCACCATATGGTACGACCTCCTGCACGCAACACGCCGCCGTTCGTTCACCCCTTCGGCGGTAAACACGTTGTCTTCCATCAGCCCTAAACATACAGAATCGACAACCCTCTGCCAGTCACTTCGTTGCCAACGTCGTACAGTCCGAGCCTATCTCAATCGCAGACGACGATGTTGCGCTGTCAATAGCTGTCCTCTGTATGGTCTAAACGCCCTGATTCCATGAGCCCTGAGTCTCCTGGCCACTGTCTGTCGACTAACCCTGTGACCTAAGGCATTTGTCGCCGATGACGTCACTGTCAGGAAGCGATTTCGGAGGTGCAAGGTACGCAAGCACCGATCATCATGGGGCATGGTCACCCTGGGTCTGCCCGTTCTTGGCCTGTCAGTGGTCCGCCCTGTCTGTCTGTAACGTTGCATTAAGTTGGTAACGGCAACACGGGGGCAACCGAAGGTTCGTGGAATTACTGGCGTGGGTGGCTCCCATCTGTACCATACCCAAGGCTCGTTCACGTTGTTCGACTGTGAGTCGTGGCATTTCTTTTGTGTGTTTTTTATCACTGTGGATGTCTGACTTGCCGTTGCAATCGTTTTATACCCTTACCCGCACGTGCATTTGCAGTTGTCCATGGTGCACGTGTTTTTCACTTTTTCGCGTGTTATCTCGCAAACATGTAACAGACGATTAACATTTTATGCATACACTATTGTTGTATTTAGGTGATGTGTTTTAGATAGACTTCTTCGAAAAAAATTATACTTTGTCTGAAATTTATATATTCAGTTTGTAAAGTTTCTTTTGGACGTCAGTTTATTTTAAAGGAGCCTTTCACAAAGCTAATGAATATACTAATACTAATGATTGAGTATTGTTACGTCAATCTGAAATACACATTTCTCTGTATTGTACCCTACACATTTGCCGAGATGCACTTATGACTCTACACTTTGTTACACACGGCATAGCAGACAATGGTCCGGACAATACACCTCATGTCTGGTTCTCGCAGGCTTTAGCAGTTTCTAGTAATAGGTTTCATATTTTCAACACTATTTAGAGCTCTATACACTTGCAGGGTCGTGTTGCTTATGTACCTCAACAAGCCTGGATCCAGAACGACACCCTGCAGAACAACATCCTTTTCGGGAAGCCAATGGACAGACATCTGTATGATGAGGTGGTGGAGTGCTGTGCCCTGAAACCTGACCTGGATATGCTGCCAGCGGGGGACCTGACAGAGATAGGGGAGAGGGTGAGTGACCCTCAATACTTTTTATTTAGAGACATAAATTAAAAATCTTATGTAAACAATTATTTTTGAAGAAAACCCTGGGCATGCACAGAAGCTGAGAATATTTCTAGCTAAAGATGTGTCTTGAGTATTGTATTTGTTGCTTAACTTGTCATCCGGGTATCACATGGGTTAGAATAGGGTAGAGGGGAGACGTGGAAGGCGTATCTAGCCGGAGTTGTCTATTGTGTCTTGTATACTCAGCAACAAAAGTTCCTGTGACACCAATATTTTAGTGTATTTTTCAAACAAATAAAGTTTGGTTTTCAATATTGGAGTACATGTATGGAATCAAGTCACAAAAATGCAACTGCTACAGAAAAGCATGCATTTCCATGCAAAAGTTGACTTTTATGCAAGCCCCATGCATTTCACTACCCAAGAATGGGTATAAAAACATATGCGTTAACGGGATTCCATATGCATTGTTTAGCATCGTGCTGACAACAACCACTCAGAAAAACAACAAATTTACGCAATTATTCAACATTACGAAATGCCACGCCTGTCCGAAAATGAGCGTCTGCGAGCCATTGGAATGCTTGAAGCAGGATCGAGTCAACGTGATGTTGCAAGACAATTTAACGTCCACGGAAACAATATTTGGTGTTTATGGCAACGTTGGCAACAGACGAATGCAGTCAGGGACCATCCTCGGAGTGGCAGGCCACGCGTAACCAATAATCGACACGACAACTGGATTCGAACAACACACCTACGAAATCGATTCCAGCCAGCAACAGTGACTGCAAGAAGCATCCCTAGCCTTCGACGAAAATCTTCACAAACCGTACGTCGCCGCCCCAGATGAGCAGGGATTGTCGCAAGGAGACCCGCCAGACGTCCTATTTTGACAGGAAACCACCGTCAAGCACGTCGATATCGGTGCAGACAGCGTCTTCGCTGGACGGCCCTGCAGTGGGGACAAGTTCTATTCACTGACGAGTGTCGTTTTCACCTCAGCCACAACGAAGGACGGATTCGAGTGTACCGACGTCGAGGTGAACGTTACGTCAATCATTGTGTCATGGAAGAAGATCGGTTCGGGGACAGCAGCGTTATGGTATGGGGTGGGATTACAGCAAGACAGAGGACCCGTTTGATAGTGGTAGAGGGAAATCTCAACGGACAGCGGTACCGCGAGGAGATCATCGGCCCTGTTGTTCTACCATTTTTGCGTCGTCATGGCCCAGGCATTACCTTTCAACATGACAACGCCCGGCCTCATATTGCTCGACTTGTTCGGGATTCTTTTCAACAAAACAAAGTGAATGTCATCCCCTGGCCGGTTCGCTCCCCTGATCTCTCACCAATCGAGCACATGTGGGATGAGATGGATCGGCGCCTTCGACGTCAACCACGTGTTCCACAGACACTCCAGGAACTTCGATACATGCTCCAGCAGATATGGACAGATATCCCACAGGACTATGTGCGACGCCTGGTCCATTCCATTAGACGACGATGTCTTGCTTGCATCGCAACCAGAGGTGGACACACTCGCTATTGATTTGTAAATTGACATTTTGGCATGTTCATGTTGTTTTTTTATGAAAACACGCATTTTCTGAAGACAGTATGGCAAATTAAACCCTTTGAACACTTACAGGAGTCTTTTATCTGTTGCAAACCGGAATTGATTCAGATTTGGTAAAAAACATAACTTTGCATTAAATCTTATTCAATGTCACAGGAGCTTTTGTTGTTCAGTATACATGTATATTGTATAGGTTTCCTATCTTGCATCAGGGCATCAACATGAGTTGAGGACAGAAGCAGAGGGTGTCTCTAACCAGAGCTGTCTACAACGTTGTGTCTTGTGTCTTGTATTTGTTTCCTGTCTTGCCATCAGGGTATCAATTTGAGTGGAGGACAGAAGCAGAGGGTGTCTCTAGCCAGAGCTGCATACAATGCTGTGTCTTGTATTTGTTTCCTGTCTTGCCATCAGTGTATCAATTTGAGTGGAGGACAGAAGCAGAGGGTGTCTCTAGCCAGAGCTGTCTACAACGTTGTGTCTTGTGTCTTGTATTTGTTTCCTGTCTTGCCATCAGGGTATCAATTTGAGTGCAGGGCAGAAGCAGAGGGTGTCTCTAACCAGAGCTGTCTACAACGTTGTGTCTTGTGTATTGTATTTGTTTCCTGTCTTGCCATCAGGGTATCAATTTGAGTGCAGGGCAGAAGCAGAGGGTGTCTCTAACCAGAGCTGTCTACAACGTTGTGTCTTGTGTCTTGTATTTGTTTCCTGTCTTGCCCCCATCAGGGTATCAACTTGAGTGGAGGACAGAAGCAGAGAGTTTCTCTAGCCAGAGCTGTCTACAACGATGCTGACATCTATCTGCTGGATGATCCGCTCAGTGCTGTCGACAGTCACGTGGGGAAACACATCTTCGATTTTGTAATAGGTGCAGATGGGATGTTGAAAGACAAGGTGCGTTCGGGGTTACACCACTAATTCTTTTAAAATGATCGCGTCAATAAGTGAGGAAGTGGTTGAGCTTTAAACAGTTTTTAGTAACATCACGCAGCGTTAGCTTATGCCCTCTCAAATTGATTTGACGTTTTACTCATTTTGTGACAAGTATGTTGCTGACAATTTGGGATTCAAGTGTGTGTGTGTGTGTGTGTGTATGTGTGTGTGTGTGTGTGTGTGTGTTCGGTTGGTTCCTTAAGAGGATGAAAAAAGGAAAGAATTATGTCGTTGTGTGTGTAAGTCACACGAACATCCAAGATGACAGTCGAATGATACTTGAACTTTTAAACAGTGGTTGTAGACTTTTCAAATACTGATTCATCAGACACGAGTCTTGGTAACTCACAACGTTCGTTACCTGCCTGGCGTTGACAACATTGTCGTTTTGGGGGACGGAACAGTGGCGGAGACGGGGTCGTTCCGCGACCTCCTCAACAGTGATGGTGTGTTCACACGTGTGTTGCGATCCTACCTGGTGGAATATGAGGACAACAGGGCGTGCGTAGAAGGTGAATACGGCAGAAAGTAGTCGCAGTCGTAGTACAATAAACTACGGTTATAACGTACTCAAAAGGACCACTTCTTTTAGTTCGTTATAACCGTAGTTCGTTATAAGCATATATACAGCAGTTGTCAGGACAAAAAAATAAGTTCGTTATGAGCATGGTCCTTATAAACGTAGTTTTCTGTAGTTTAGAAGTACTCGTATAAGTCACATTAGTATGCATTTGTTGTTTTCGTAGTAGTAGTAGTACCGGTACTAGTTGACCTTGTAGTATTAGTAGTAGAAGTCACATTATTATTATTATCATCATCATCATTATTATCATTTTTATTTTACTATTTTTAGCAGTAGAAGTAGTCGTCGTAGTAGCAGTAGAGTGGGTAGCAGCTTGTACAGTGTTTCAATTATTTCGCGGCGTGTCCGCTTAATGTGTGAGAAAAGACCGACGCCATTCAGGTCTAGACGTTTATTTATCATTGGTGAAACCCAAGAGCACGAATATGGTGCTGACAAATCCAGCAACATAAGGTCCACCTGGATTCGAACCCGCGATCATCTTACACTACTAAAGGCCGCAACTCTGCACAGCGAATTGCGGCAGCATACACGCCTCTGGCATTCGTGACCTGTTGTAGCACAAGTTGAGGTCGTGTAGTGGAAATATTCGTCGTAGTCGTGGAAATATTCGTCGCTGGCATCGTAGTAGTAGAAGTAGTGGTAGTAGTGATAGATATGGCTCACTTTCTGGTTTATGAATAGTGTTGCAAAAGTAACTATTTGTTGTAAGGTTAGAGTTATGAGAATATGCTAAATAAAAGAGCCGGTCGATGAGTTGGGTACAACGCTGCATTGAACAATCATTCAGTTTCACAACACATTTGTCCCTTTCACATAAAAGGGACACAGCTCTGCACAGCGAATAAATAGAGGCAACTTAAACCACGTGACCACCCGTGTTACAAACGAAACATACAAGGTGTGAATGTCATATACCCAGCGGCACAGACGAAATACTGCCGCATTTCAAGAATCTCTTAACCAGTTATATCAACATCAGTAAATGCATCATGTCTACAGATACAGTTCAAGTTGGGCAATTATTTACTGCTAGGGTATCGTGTAATCACACGTGATGATCTCAGTACGGATTTCTCATTCTTTACTTTACACTAGCTTGTTACTATCACTGGTTTTATTATTTAAAAGATGCCAAATGAACATCGTCAACATGTGTCCAGGTTTAATGGTATTTGATAGTATATTTTTATTTTTTTCTCTCAGACCTAGAGACCGGCCAAGAGGAAGATGTAGGCAGTGATGTGAAAACAAAACTGATTCGTCTGAACAGGTCAGCTTGATTTTTTGTATGGTAAAACATATTAATGAAACTGTTTGGGCCGAACGAAGCACCCACATACATATATTGGCCGTCTTGGTAATATAAAATGGCGACTCTAAACATTTCGGTGGGTGAGGATGTTTTTTTCTTATCTTCCCAAAGGCGACTGATGCAAATGTGTGTGCTTGTATCATCATATGAAGAGTAATATCTAATACCTGTTTCGTTATAGTCTTTACGTCTTAAACCCATGCTTGCCATAAAGGCGAATATGCTTGTCGTAAGAGGCGACTAACGGGATCGGGTGGTCAGGCTCACTGACTTGGTTGATAATTGTCATCGTATCCCAATTGCGTGGATCAATGCTCATGATGTCAATCACTGGATTGTCTTGTCCAGACTCGATTATTTACAGACCGCCGTCATATTGCTGGAATATTGCCGAGTGCGACGTTAAACAACAAACAAACACATATTTCAGAAAAGTCTGAACATTTTACATTATACACAGTTGCTTGCGGATTCCACTTTTTAAAAAGCTAAATGCGAGTACCGTTTTGTCCATGCCATGGTAAGAGATGTGCTTGACTATCATGTTTTAGCGAGGATGTACCCGCAACAACTGACGGCAAACATACAATTGCAGAAGTGGCCCACATCAAGACATCAAGGCAGTCCTCCAGACATCTGTCAACCTCAGAAGATGACTCGCAATCTGGCGGAAAGTGCATTGAAGAGGAGGAACCAGTGGAAGTTGGTGGAAAGGTACCGGCATATACCACATACAGCTCGTCTGGGCAATGGGGTAGACCCTGGTTCGATCTCCAACGCGATTACAATGTTTCGAGCCAACTCCTAGTGTCCCTCCTGATATAGCTTGGATGTTTCTGAATATCCCGCTGGCAATTAAACCATCGTATATTATTTCCCGTCACAAGTGAAAGCCATGGTTGTAGCCTAGTTGTTAATCTGTTGCCTCGGTACTATGGGAGATTTTGATAAAGCAGTCCTAGGACGTTTGATTAAAGTTGCGCATCGTCTGTGCCAGTTGCCTATCTTAAATTGTATGATATCGACCATGTCTCTTTTCCATATTACTCTCATTTCACTGAGACAATGTATCAATACCGTACGTTACCATAATTACGTCGTTCAGACCTTGATGGAAATGGTCACCAGAGCATTAAGCACACCTCTGTTCAGAACAGCCAAAGACCACCCTCACACTCCTATAAGCAGTCTCCTTATCCTCTCTTCTGGGCAATATCGTCTCATCGAAGATGTATCCTTTGTTATTTCTGTTATATTATTAATTGTTACGACATAAACAACACTTCCTTTTGAGGTTTGTACGTAGCTTATTAGATGCTTCTAATTTTTGTGAAGAAACCCACATTAACCCGTCAAGTCCACTGCTCTCTCTGTACGCTGTACCAAATTTCACTACAGCGGACATGGAGCCTGTTTCTGGATTATGCGAGAGCCTACGGCTACTGGCAGATGTTGTTAACAGTGACGTCCTATTGCCTGTACTACATCCTCTGGTTGGAGGGTAACATCTGGCTAGCCCAGTGGACGGAAGACCCTCTACTGAAGAGTGTCATAGACGGCGTCCTCACTAATGGAACAACACAGGAGGACATACGGAAGACCAACATGCAGTACCTGAGCGTCTACAGTGGACTTGGTCTAGCCATGTGTAAGTTTGCAATTTCAGTTAGAAGTTTGATATGGGAATTAAGGGCACCATGTGTTCCATGTCCCAGCAGCTGAGTGTGAGGGATAATGTGGCGATACGTTGTCCTGTGCTTAGTTCACAGTTCACAAATCAGGCAACGCAGGCGGTGGAGTGATGTTGTAAGAGTGACCGAGCTCTGCACGCTTGACTCCAATGATTTGGTCCTACCCATCACTGAATCATAGGTTACGAAGACACACGTGTGGTGTATCTTCCGGATCGTCACTTTGTTGGCGATAGGCCTATGTTCACTCAAGAGCTAGTGGGCGTCCTGTAGGTCGACGTGGTAACGTGAATGCAAAACCTTGTAGGGCATTAGCTTGGGTTGTTTATTCCCCAGGGAGATGAGAATGTAATTTTAGCGCACACACAGTGAATAGTGTATCTCTACATGCATGGTTTAGAGCAAAGTACATCCTTCCGCACACCATTCGGACGACACATGTGGAGTCTACAACTTATGGACGAATTTGTGTTTGGCAGTGATGGTAATATCCCCTGTGGGTATCGTGGTATCAACCCCTATGTTTGGCAATCTTGATCTCAATATAATATTGCAGCGTTCTGCATCTTGATCTACACTTCCGTCACAACGGTCGGTGTGGTGAAGGCCTCGCGAGAACTGCATCACAAATTGCTAACAAGCATCCTGAGAGCTCCAATGAAATTCTTCGATACAACACCAATCGGCAGAATAACCAATCGCTTCTCACATGACATAGACAAGATTGACGGGGACTTGCCATTTGGCCTTGAGTTCTGGCTGGACTGTGTGGCTGTCGTGGTCGTGTCTCTCGTTGCTGTTGTGTATAGCTCCCCCCACGTCACAGTGCTCATCATACCACTTGCCTACTACTATCATTATATACAGGTGAGTAGCGACATACACAAACCTCCTGGACAGAACAAACATTCAGGATCATCTAGCATAATATTATAAAGCTGGTATTGACATTAATATTTGTGTGTAAACACCTGTGGCAAATTGCTTTTTCCATTATTTTCTAGAACGAATTAGTTTGTAACTAAATCCAAGCCCTGTCACCCAGCGTCGATTATCAATGGATTGAATGATTGATTTTGATTTTAAGCCGCTTTGAGCAATGTTCCAGCAATATCACGCGCGGGACACCAGAAATGGGCTTCATACATTGTGCCCATGTAGGGAATCGAACCCTGGCTTTCGGCGTTACAAGCGAACACTTTAACCACCTGGCTATCAGCTGTTGTCTCACAGGTGAGACAGCAAATGATACGGGTTTTGGAAAGGCAAGCTGGGCAATTGTTTGGATTGAATACTTAACAGGTACAACATGTGAAACTGGAAAGATTAATTCAACAAAATAATTGTTTTCACACATTTGTCCGAGGTACAGAACTCAATAACTTGTCACTGCGTACGGGATTCGCTGCAGCAGATTTTTGTTTATTGTTTAACGCCGAACTCAGCCATATTCCAGCTATATGGCGGCGTTCTGTAAATAATCGAGTCTATATCAGACAATCCAGTGATTGTCATCATGAGCATCGATCCACGCAATTGGGATACGATGACATGCATCAACCAAGTCAGCGAATCCTTCCACCCGTTCTCGTCGCCTCGAGCATAGTTGCCTTTTACAGCAATCATAGTTTGCTGAAGACCTATTCTATTCCCAATCTTCACGGATCTGTAGCAGATGTAAAATATGAGTTATAAGTATGGTTAGGATTTGATACGGATCTAGTTTTCTGTAACACGAGTTTTATTCATAAAGGTATTAAATCCTTTAGCGGGCTTGTAATGAGGGTAGACACAAGCAGTAAACACAATAAGTTAACACAATTAGCGAACACCTGCATAACTGCTCTGTAAAACGTTGCCGGAAATACTACTTATCAGTCATTGATTTCATAGCTTCCTCCAGTACTTTAAACCAGGGAGGTTATACGTATGTTGTCTTAAGCTCTGAACTTAAGCCTCGCGATCGCTTTTCAAAATATGTCCAAGAGGGTCGCTTTTCATCGTGTTGCTGATGGTTTAATAATTTTATGCTCAGGTGGATGGGTATACATCTCTTGGTTGTTGGCAACGTCATCTGCAGTGCAACATCTCTGCTGCGGAACCTGACTAAGGGAATCAGGTCTGGAGCTCTGGTTGGGCTTGGGACGGCTTTCTCACTGGATGTAATACCTTTGATTTTCATTGGGGGAAAACAAAACTACGGGTATTTTGTTGTGGCTCTGTGGGTTACGATTTAACACTGATGCTGCAGATGAAATGCTGTGTTTGTAGAGGATAATATATCAATATCGATAATGCAAGCTTACCCATTTATTCATACATTCTTTATCTTATTGCTGTGTAATTAGACATCTGAACGTAGGCCGTCTAGAAATCCGAAATTGCTGCCAAATTCCAATTATCAAAATAAATTCATAGATTTGTCTACAAGTTTAGTGATCTTAGATATAAAAACTTTCAAGATTTTATAGCAAGGAAGAGAGTGTTTGGACTATTTACCAACGTGTCGGGTAGTTCTTTTCAGGATTTTAGAAGCATTTATCAAAATGACCGCCTTTGCCTTGTATCGCTGTGACTCACCATAGTACCAAATATTGCCCATTTCTAGATAAATTCGGCCTTGGGATTCATGGTGATTACTCAGAGCGAGATGGAGGTCAATCTCATGTCTATGGACAGAGTCCAACAGTTCATCAACAGCCCAAATGAAGTGAGATTCTATTTATTATCCATTCGGTTCATCATTAAGCGAATAGGGGTTTGATGGTGACAGCGCAATGGGTAAGGGTTGAGCTGAATCTATATCTTCCTTCGTTACTTGTGTGCATGAATGGACGTCCTGAGGCCCAAGTATATAACATTAAATGAATGCACATACAATAGGGACACTGACGTTCATTCAGTATCTTTGTAATCCATCCTGTGCCTATTGTATAAGCTAAACATAACTTTTCTCAAAATACCTAAAATCCCCAAATTCATGCGGGTTTGGTATGTGTAGTATGTGTTATTCATAAAACTTGCACCACTATGTTACCTTTTGGATTGGAATCTGGCGTTGACGTTTTTTTATTTATTAAGATCTATTGTGTCTTGGCCATATTCCCGGCTAAATCGCCCGCATTAACAAATTTCAATATTATGTCATTTATGGTCCCTTTACTAGCTCTGTATGGGCGTTCCCTACAGTTTTCTTGGCTAACGGGTCCAGACTGACCATGTTACACTGTATCCAATTGTAGGCAGCTTTGAGAAAGGGACAACTCCCCTTCAACTGGCCCGACAGAGGCAGGCTAGAATTTATTAACTACAGTCTGCGATACCGTCAGGGCCGGGATCTGGTGCTGAAGAATATCACATTTACTGTTCATGGAGGGGAGAAGGTAGGTGGAATGTCTCATTTACTGTATATGGAGGGGAAAATGTAGCTGGAATGTCTCATTTACTTTACATGGAGGGGAGAAGGTAGCTGGAATGTCTCATTTACTGTACATGGAAGGGAGAAGGTAGGTGGAATGTCTCATTTACAGTACATGAGGGGAGAAGGTAGGTGGAATGTCTCATTTACAGTACATGGAGGGGAGAAGGTAGATGTAGGTGGAAAGTTTCATTTTGTTGCACATTGAGGGGAGAATGTTGGCGGAAAGTCTCATTTTATTGGACATTGAAGGGAGAAGGTAGGTGGAATGTCTCATTTACAGTACATGGAGGGGAGAAGGTAGGTGGAATGTCGCATTCACAGTACATGGGGAGAGAAGGTAGGTGGAACATCTCATTTACTGTATATGGAGGGGATAAGGTACATGTAGGTGGAATGTCTCATTTACTGTACATGGGGGTAGAAGGTAGGTGGAAAGTTTCATTTTGTTGCACAATGAGGGGAGAACGTTGGCGGAAAGTCTCATTTTGTTGGACATGGAGGGAGAGGGTAGGTGGAATGTCTCTTCATGGAATGAGTAATGATTTGGAAGATGATCATGAAATAATTTCATATAATGATAAGGGTAATCATGGAGGAAAGTCCATTTTTTTTGTAAACTTCATTTATCATAAACTTTGTATGGAATCATGATCACGTGGTATTACAGATTGGTGTTGTCGGCAGAACAGGAGCAGGTAAATCATCCCTGATGCTCTCCCTTTTCCGTCTTGTGGAGCCAACAGAGGGCGCTATAGTGATTGACGGTGTAGACATTGCTGACATCGGACTTCATGATCTCAGGGAGAAACTAGCTATAATACCACAGGTAGGCAGCCTGGACTGAGTGAGTACTTCACTTGCATGTATAACTTTGCCCTGAACAGCAGCATTTTTCAGTGATGACTTAGGGGGAAAGTCAAGCTCTTATACATTACAACAAGATCACAATCAAGGAAAACAAAAACCAGCGGATCCTGCATGGAAATGGGACGCAACTCTGAATAACAAATTTTGCCCCCTGAAAACCACACCGTCACCCGTACCCCAGAGCAAATGAAAAGCTTTCCTTGAATATAATCTAAAACAAGACATGGTTCCAACGGAATGACCCCAAAGATCATAACTTCTTTTCAGGACCCTTTCCTCTTCACGGGTCCCTTGAGAATGAACCTTGACCCCGAGGACCTGTACACAGATGAGGAAATCTGGGCGGCTTTGGACCACACCCATCTCCGCCGTTTTGTGGAATCTCTGTCTGATGGGCTCGAGACAGACTGTGGAGAGGGAGGAAGCAACTTCAGGTGAGGAGAGGTGGTGGGTGGAAGGTAAGGGTCTGAATCAGCGTCAGGAGTAAGGGGACCGCTGAAATAGAGTTCGCAAGTTTACGTTAGATGTTTGCTTTTGGTTATAGTTGACCATAGCGATGTCCGGAATAATGAGTGAGGGAGCGAGGGAGGGAGGGAGTTTAACAATGATTTGAACAGTATTCCAGTCACACTACAGCGTGTCAGCTGCGTGTCGTAATTTAAAAGGTCAGAGAAACGCCAGAGAGTATCCGACAGAACAGAATCCATTTAGCGTAAAAGGTAACATAGTAGTGAAACTGGCATGAATGGATCACTGAAAATCAGTGATGACATCAGGTGTTCGCGAAAAGGGTAATCAGTGAAGCAGTTCTCAAACATATACCTCTTTGATAAAACCCAAGAGCTAGGGTATGGTACTGGAAAACGCTAGAAACATTATCAGGGCTAACCGGGATTCGAAGCCACGACCATAGATTTCTTAGTGACGCATCTTTGCACAGTGAATTCTGGGGCTTTAGACTACTGGTAGAATAACGATTGAATACTATTATAACCATGTACAGTGTAAAACATCAATGGATTTATTATTGACCTTTTCCGCAGTGTCGGGCAGTGTCAGTTATTCTGTATGACTAGAACACTGCTCCGGAAAGCCAAGATTCTTGTTCTTGATGAGGCTACAGCCTCCGTTGACATGGAAACAGATGACCTTATCCAGCAGACCATCAGGTCGGAGTTCAAGGACTGCACGGTGCTGACCATCGCCCACAGGCTCAACACGGTCATCGACTACGACAGGTAATTTTAAGTACACATAAATTCATTGATAACTACCCATAAAGGTCGAAATATCGAGTTGTCTATATTTACAAATGTTGAGCTATTCACAATGCTCATTGGTCAATTTAAGCGATAAGGCGTCACATTGCTTCATTGTTGAGAACAATACGATATGACGTCACCAATTGTTCATGGCACCAGAATTGATAATATAACGTCGTCTGAACAATAGACTGAATAGATTGACTGGGATTCAAACCAGCGACCATAGGTTCCTGGCACGACTGTGGCATGGGACACGACTTGACCACCTCGCAGTTTGTGATTTCTGAATATTTAGTTCGTGAAGTTTTAATCATAAGCCCGCGTGTGTATGGTTTACAAGATTGCTAAACCACTTGTGTACACATTACAGTTTGGGCAAGATATATCTGGGCACCTTTAAGTTACTTCCATACGTATTTGGGTAAAAGGGAAAATCACACTCAAAACTTTCTTTTCCCTTTAAACTGCTGCACATCCGTGACGGAGAATGACAATGACGAGACATTAAACTTGCAAGAGTGAACATGAAACGAAATTGTTAAGGCCAATAAGGACATAAAAAACCCAGAATGCCTTTATTGTTTATATCTTCTAAGATGATAGCAGCAGCTGCAAGTTTTAAGTTCATCGGAACAATACCAGTATGATAAGTAACGAAGATTACTTTAATACGCTTTCGTTCTTCAGGATTCTAGTTCTTGATGAGGGCGAGGTAAAGGAGTTCGATTCCCCAGAGAAACTGCTCCAGACGAAAGGTGTGTTCTATCAGATGTCGCGTGATGCAGGAGTCAACTCCAGCTGAACACTCGAGGACGGTAACATCATTAAACCTCACGGCGCACCAACAAAAACGTGTAATTATGTTCTGAAAGAACCCACTGCTTTTCAATAAAGTCACCAGATCTCATATAATACAGAACCATTTTCATAGGTTAAAAAACTATACTTATGTATTATTCAATATGGATTTAAAATTTGTATCTTATTTTGTTATTTTCTTTTAACATATGAAGTTACAACATAATAATATCCTGCGTCTCCTAAACGTGTTTAGGTCAGTACACCTGGCGTTGGGTGAGAAGGGACGGTCCAGTGATGAACTGCATCACATAACCCTTTGTTACCCTTAGTTGTGAACTTATTGTTTTCAAAAATACATATTTTAGTCAATATATATAAATGTTATACCTCTATTAAGAATCTTACAATTCCATTGGTTATTCCCTACCAAGTGACAAATCAATACATTTCAATGTAGACCTCAAAATCATGTGACTGACACTGACCTCGAATATTGACTCGTCACATGATCAGTATTCACCCGTCACGTGATGAATATTGACAAGGTGGCATCTCAGTTTCACATTTCACTGTTCGCAGCTAAGTTACCGTAATCAAAGACGTACATAGATATATACGTCTTTGCTGTAATGAAACAGAGGATGGTTAAAAGACTTCGTAAACTTTAATGGGAATTTCGGCAAAACAAAACGATTTATTAATCTTGACGAGTAAAGACTTGCCTGCGTTCTCGGTCGGGTCCTAGGGTCCTTGTTTTCGCAAACTGATTTCGTCAAAAGTAATTATTTGTATACTAAGTCGACAATAATGACTTCAAAGTCTACGTTAACTCATTAACATTATCATAAGACTGAAGACAGAAATACGAAACAGTGACATCCTTCAGCGCAATAGGGCAACCTAAGCCCCGCCCACCCTATCACATATTTGACAATACCAAAGCTTATACAAACAGTCTGCGTCATTCGAAGATCTAGTTGTCGCCCTCATTTTCTCGAAAATGTCAAATCTTACAATTCTAACATACATGTACGCTTACATATTTATATGCTATCATACTATGATACTGAGAACAAATGGGACCCGGAATTCATTCATACCAGCTAGTACCAGGTTTTATATACGTTTTGTGATACATAATGTTGAGCAGATATTAGCTAGTATCACATTTAATGTTTCGTTTGTGATGCTCTTATTTATTTGTATTGTGTATTTATAAATAAGCTGAGATCTTGTGCTGACGTAAAATTTCCTTTCGGGATAATAAAGTGTTATCTTATCTATCTTATCTATTCCGACTTATCCACCTCGCATTCTGCAATATCTATAATTTCACCTCCTTTATTTCTGACCTGATGATCTGTTGGATCTTGTCATCTGTAACGTGCTATTGCATCATCAATAACAAGGACCTTGGATTTCTTCAAGAGTGTTCGGGTCAAACAGTTTTGTTTATTTATTTGTTGTTTTATGTTGCACTCAGCAATATTCCACCTATTTCCAGCGGTTTGTAAATAATCGAGACTGGACAAGACAATCCAGTGTTTGATATCATGAGCATCGATATCATTTTGGGGTACGATGACATGCAGCAATAAAATCAGCGAGCCTGATCACCCGATCCCGTTAGTCGCCTCTTCCGACAAGCATAGTCGCCTTTTATGACAAGCATGGATTGCTGAAGATCTATTCTATCACGGATCTTCACGGATCTCCAGTCACACATAATAGCTGGCGTTGTCCGTTATTGTAATAAATAAATGATGATTTGTGAAGCATCTCTAATTTCAAAAGTAGTTTGACTGGGACTAATCAGAAGAGAACTATAAAAATGAGGTAAATTTTATGTCCAGTTCCGAGTACAGGTTTCAAGAAGATAACATACAGAAATATTGCTGAAAACATAATTTGGGTTGTACATTTATAAGTTCCTGAATTGTCGTTTGTCTGGATTTTGTATATTCAAACTCAGGTACAGAAGTCGGTGAGAAATCAATGAGAGATGTTTCTGAAGAAGATGTTGCTATGCAGGTTACTGATATCAATACCATGCGGATATGCTTATAAGACAGATACTGCCTGTGGTATGATAGCAAGTTTCTCCCTGAGATCATTAAGTCCGATGTCAGCAATGTCTACACCGTCTATAACAATAGATTTACCCGTCCACCGACCTGGACATATGACAGATAACAATTATGCAACAGTGTGTGAATGGAAATAGAATGACATCAAGGTAAACATAAGTCCATATGGGTAACACTTGATATTGTGATATGTACACAAATAGTATTTCTTTCTTTGACGCCAATCTCCCTTTCTTCGGAAAGAATAATGAGCAATATCACTCCACCTTGGCCCCACAGACATGTAGATGTCAAACCAGATGTATATTAGTTGTTATCCCCAAATTTAAAATAGATGTTATCAATGCGTAAGTGCAGCATTTCACATATAATTTTTTTCAGTGAACTTCAGATGCCATTTGTTTTATGGTTGACATAATTGAATCCGACACCTGGTATCGTCACTATAGGATAGTAATCCGAAAACACATGCTCATAATATTTCTGAAGTATATGGAGTGGCTTTTGTCGATTTTATTTTAAATAATGAATCAACATTTAACTTATTTAAGTGATGCGAATTTAGTTAGCCTTAAGTACAGATTATAACACTAGGTTAGTTTTAGATGAATCGGCTGTGGGGATCTATTTGCTTTGGTCAGGGCATGCAAGGATAGGGGCCGTTGTAATGGCTTGCTTCAGGTTTTTGAATACCTGTTCACAAATTGTCGAAGCGTTTGAAAGATCATGCATTATTCTTAACAAATAAAGAAATATGCCAGCACCCATCGCCTAAAGCAATTGGCAATATTCTTTCAACTGGTTTTTTTGTGTGGACAATTTCTATGAAGTACTGTTATTACCAATAATATCTTGAGAACGATTTATGTCCCTTCTAATCTCTGACTGACCCTGCTGAAATTTGTGCTCTGGGTTTGTCCGCTGTACTATGTGCATCGAGCAACAATAACTAAAACGTTCAATCAGAGTTATGCACATATTTAGTTGTCAGAGATGTATGTGGCAACATCAGGGGAAGACCAAGACTCTAGCTGACCTGAATGCCGCTACCTTGTACAGCAGTATACAGCGGCAATCTGTCACCAAGTGATCAAGCAGTGATAAAGTCTTGGAGCAACACAGACACATCCTGTTCACGGACACTTGTTGCATTTCATGCGTGCTGACTGACAGGTAAGTTTCAATATCTATTCATGCTTTAAATTAAGTAAAGCTTTTCATTCAATCTGGTAAAGGTACTTTGTAGCACAAGATAAAGTGTATCCATTTTCAAGTTGAAAACGTGATTCCAGGATTATTTGCAACATATTTGCAGGTACACTACTTATATTTAACCTGAATGTTCATTCGCCACAGGTCAAATATCTTGTTTATTTGGGAAGTCTAGTATTTCCTTGGACAGTCTAGTAACTGAAACTTTAATCTATAAGACTTGTTTGCTAATCAGGCGTGTTTCGTATATTTTATTGTCCAAGAAACGTGCTGTAAGGATAAGCACTCAGGGTTTATTTCTCCCTATTTAGGCCCGTTGGAGGTATTCACACAAAGAATGGTGAGTTGATTGATTTCCAGGTAATTGGTCGCAGCCAACATAATTGGCTGGCGTGGCATCTTGTCAATATCTTGTCAAAGTGTTGTTTTAGCTACTATCTTTGAATACTGTTCTACAATTGCTTAGCTAATGAGCATGTATATTTGCCCTGGTTTAATTAATCAGTGATCATTATCAGTTTAGAATGGGCTTCTGATCCTTTTTGTTGTCGTCTATTGATACAATTATCTGATAGTGACATAGTGACTTTTACCACAATTTCAATTATTACTGTATTCTTATTTAATGATGCAGACGATGTCCTTGACAGTTATTGTATTAAACACCCTTTTTGAGAACGCAAACCCTATACTGAATGCTGACAATGGAGTTCAAGTCATACTGATCGATCTGTCAACATACCATGTTCCATGTAATGGATGGATTGACAAACACTGCTGGTCACGCCAACAATCCGATGACCTAAGTCGATCGCATATCTCTAACATTCACAGCAGACGATATCTTTGACAGTTATTAATGCATTACATTACATTACATCTCCTGGAAATCATCTAAATTATCCTTTATTGTATACAAATTGTTTTTCAGTGACGACCTATTTGGAAAAAGTAAACATATATGTATTACATATATCAAACGAACTTTTGACGAACTTGGACTTTGCTACATGTACATCTGGTTTTTACACAGCTTTTTAAATCCTACTTATCTAAAACATTTAGTCCATGAAATATTAAATGACGATAACCTACAGTGTTGGACAAGTGCAAGAGATAAGACTTCTAATGGCACAATGTGTATTATCATAAAAATGATTGCTTATATGTTGAATACCATTTAAGTGTACTGCAGGAAAACGTTTGGCGAGTCTGACTTAAGTTTAGAATTGTAACCACAATCACCCTATTGAAACTTGGTGGAAAAAATACCTTTAACCAAAAGGAAATGCCCACTTTGTTAATCATCTGACATAGGTGATGAATTCAATTATTTGTCCATCTTTAGAAAACGAAAGAAAACAATTTTTACACAGATTCTACTACAATAAACCCAACATACATAAAATGAATTTACTTTTCAATAATTCACGATTAGGAACATTGAGAAAACTAAACAATCAAGTAACTCTCCCTCTTATTGAGATGCACATATATTGCTACCCCAGTGAATCTGTATAAATTGCATGCATGCTCAGCAAAGATGTTTTTGTATATTATATTATATTATATTATATTATATTATATTATATTATATTATATTATATTATATTATATTATATTATATTATATTATATTATATTATATTATATTATATTATCATGGTGTTGAACTATTTTTGTACTCCTGAGTGTAAATATAAGTTCAGTTAAGCGAAGAGGCACCACGTATGGCATAAAGGGCACACAAACCAGCTGAAAAGGACCCTTGTTAGAGTGGAGTTTTAGTTAGATGTGTAATCATAATCAGTGTGTTTTTGTGAATGGAGCCCAATCGCAGACAGGTTAAAAGAAGGCTGGGTCCCCCAAGGGTCAGCCTTAGGGCCTTTTCTTTTTACTCTTCCTATTAATGACGTAGCAGATAATTCAAGCTGTATTACAAGACTGATTACACATCACTTGGAGTCTTCAAGATGTTGTGCAATGATACAAAATAAAATGTACAGAAGTTTAGCTTTATTAAAGGAATGGGCCAAAAGTTGGTTGATTTTATACAATCCTGACGAAACGCAAGCTGTTATATTCTCACAAAAGGAAGCTAAAGATATTTCTAAATGATGTTAAACCGAGACACTCTCAATATAATGTATCAGGTTTTCATCAGGCCCATTTGAATACGTATGTGAGGTTTTGGTATAGGTGTACGAGACTTAAACCTTCACATTAAGCTGTTTTCCCGTGGGTTATCAAGCCGAGGAATGATGATACTCCGTTAACTGAAAGAACATTTAATTCAACACAACATTACAAAACACTTATAATCTAAAATCCTCCTAAGGCCCCATCGTACTTATCTTTTGGACTTAAGTTAGCTCAGTTAAATTATGTGTTTTGCTGACTAGAATGTGAAGACACAGAAGAATGTGTGAGTGGTTATGAATGTGAAAATACAATGTACATACTAGTATATTGTTTTCCTTTGTTCAAAAACACGTGCTCCTGACACAGTCGTAATCGTACAATGTACTCTGCATTTAGCTTTGTATCAGGGATTCATAAACCCATGCTCATTTAGTCGGAATCGTACTATTGACTCCGCGTTATGCAGAGATTTCAATTGCAAATGGAAAGGTTTTTTTTGCTTTAGTTATTAAATGAAGAAGAGATGCTTCACTTAGAAATATATGTTGTAAAGTCGAAAATACACTGACTGATCCTAATTGGATATTAAACGGAACGGTGGTTTGGTAGAGCAAGATAAAATATATTTGTAGTTATATATATATTTATATATGTAATACAAAGAGATGTATGTAAACTATAGCAAATTATAGCAAGAGCTATATATAGTGAACGTTTGTCTTCCACTCATGATATCAATTACTGCATTGTCTGGCCTAAACTCGATTATTTACAGAGCGCCGTCATATAGCTGGAATATTGCGGCGTTAAACAACAAACAAACAAGTATAACTGAAAGTGACAAACCTGTTTCCATTATCAAAAGAAATATATGCTAAGTAATCGCCGAAAGCCTGTTCATATTCATAAGAAATATTTGCCTGATGCAGATTCAATTATATGAGTCCGACTGTATCGTGATCATGAGCATGTGTTTATGAACCACTATCAAATAGTGATGATACAAGGTGTTCGCGAAAAGTTTAGCATATCCTGCCCCACCGGTGGCACCGGTCATACGCACATGCAAAGGCAAGTCAAATGTTCACCTGAAACAAACACGCATAGGGAATTGCATCGGATAGAAGAGTCCATTCTGCGATTCCAACTCTGTCAAAAGTAAGTTTTTATGCTTGGTTGGTTGGTTGTTTTACGCCGCACTCAGCAATATTACAGCTATATGACGGCGGTCTGTAAATAATCGATTCTGGATCAGACAATCAAGTGATAGATATCATGAACATCGATCCACCTGTCAATACAAGGAAATGTTCACTCTCCGGTCCGGTCAAAGTGAATCTTACACTAAACGTTTATATCCGGCTATAGAATATCAGCGTAGCCTCCCATGTACCAGTATCTTAGGCGGTGAAAAATGTTTCAACATATTACTCAGTTTACTTTAAATACGAAATCCGAACACATGTCTCTTTCCAGTACCTCACCATGCAGCTCAAATTAGGAGGATTGGTGTTATTGATGCTGGGTCTGTGTGTTTCACAGTGGCTTTTCTGGTATGGCAGTGGAATGGACCATTATGAAACCAGCATGCACATGTTTTCAAATGGATACGTATCAGAATCCAACAGAGTAAACGACACGTCAGTGAAACTTGACATTCAGTGTGTGGGAGCAGGACCAAATGAAGCAGAGGATCTGTTTTGTATGGTATGTGAAGGATTTGCTTCATTGCTACAACCACCTTGGGATATATATCAAATAACCTCAAACAAGAGGGTGTGGGGTGTGTGGGGGGCACGGGTGGACTAGTCGTCTAAGGCGCCGGGATTCGCTTTGCAGAGTTGCGTACCTTGGGCACGCCAGAAACCTATGATTGTGGGTTCGAATCCCGGTTCGCCCCGATTATGTTTGTAGGGTTGTCAGCACCATACACGTGCTCGTGGGTTTCACCGAAGTGGTAAACGTCTGGGACCTGCATCACTTCGGGCTTTCCTCCCGCATTAAGCCAACAAACCGTGATATAACTGGAATAAATTTAAAAGCGGCGCCAAACCCCAACTCACTCACTTACAACTGGTAGGAGGTTGCTCACGATACTTGGTCACAAAGAAATTTATTGAGATCATACTGTCTTATCACACCATATGGTCCAAAGTACATACGCAGAGGATGCTGCGTTTGCAAATCATACCATATGCAAAACATTAATGAAGTGCTGTTTTGTGATGATGTCACAGTGTCTTATGTTACAGGAAAGACCCCAATATCTGTTGGACTTTAAGAACCCCTGCTGGTACGCGAAAGAGGATGGGAAGTTACGTCTCAGGTGCATCCCTTACTTCCATATTCTGGGGGTGTGCAAGTCGGGGACCACCGACCTCGCCTACCGCATAAAGACCCATGAAGACGTCTTTCTGGAACAGAAGGAAATCCATTACTGGTGCTGTAGAAAATATGGTAATACTTCCATTATTATAATACTACCGTGTATGGATGAGTGAATGATTGACAAGAGTTTAAATTACATTCACTTTAAAGTGTATTGGTACATACAAACCAAAGCTTGCGGTCTTTACAGTTTACTTGTTTCACTGTACACAGACCTCTCAGACGACGATACACATTCACTTTGCCATGCGGTCTGAAGAGCTAGAACTTGCTCCCTAGAAATTAAAACTTTAATGTTGTATACAATATGCGTGTCCTGGGGCATTTGAAGCTGGTGACTATAACAGGCAAGAAGTGATTCTTGAAGAATAAGCAAAAAGCTATCTGCGTTCAATGTGGAGACACATGTTCTGCTTGTCTTTGGTGTGTCCATTGTCTGCCCTGTCTATCGGTTTTGTGACGGTAACCTGACAGTGACAATGATTGTTGCACGAATGCAACCAAAGTATCTGTCGAAGGTGTTGTGTCTGGCTCCCAACTGACCATACCAATGGCCCTTTTCTCTGTGGTAGTGCCGATAAACGTGGCATGTTACTGGTGAGTTCTGTGCTCCTTATGCATTGAATGATAATTTGAGTTGTGTGTATACCCGAATGCATCCTATGATCTTCCAGCTCGTTAAATCAATTTACACGATACACTTAGCAATGTTTTCAGTTGTCTGTTGCATTTTGTAAAAGTGGTTTTACATGAAACATGGAAACATTGTTTTATTCGATTTCAAATTCTAATAAATTATGAATATACTATACTCACCGCCAAAAGAAACGCGAACCATAGAAACATATAGGGAAGCATGTACGTAAAGAAGAGATGTTTCCCATGTGTACAAATCAAGTGTTACCACGGAGTGTCTTTATTCCTATCCCGATATGCTGCACGTGACTTTCAAACTTTACACGCTTATCCTGCACGAGACAGTTGATGCATCTCGAGTCATGAATCTATGACGTCACATGATGCGTTCATGAGCGTTGGCTCACACATCATTCCAGTATATTCGTTTGTGCATCAAACCATTCTAATATCTCTTGATTATGAATAATTCGTCATATGTTAACCGACATATATGGTATGCGCGTTTCTTTTGTTTTGTTTGTTTGTGTTTAACTTCACTGGAATCCAATACGTGCTGGTGACGTCGCAAGCAGCTTCCTTCGCGTGCGCCATTAAGGTCAGAGGGTGCGACTCAGTCCAATTTGCAAGTTTGGAGGACGGTCGTCATGGCTCCGATAGAGAGTGGCGGTTTTTAATCGTGGCTAAATGAAAGTGGGCTCACCGACATGTCTGTCACCAAGTTCCCGAAGCACGAGTTCTCACAGGCCTCAGAATTAGTGGCGGTGGACAAAAACGACTTTGAAACACAAAATTGTCAACTTGCACAGTGTTAAGTGCTTGAAAAGTTGATAGTATCTCCACAGCAGCCGAGTCCTTATGAAGTTAAACAAAACGAGAAAGAAAGGCAACAGATCTCGCCAAGGCAGCTCAGTTTTCAAGGACATACTCACATCCTGAAACGGGACAACTAGTGTTGTACACTAGCCCCCTAGGTGGAAGTCTCTAAAGGCTATTTGAACCTGCATAAGTGAGAGACGAGGGCCTTTCTTTCTCATCTTGCCTTGCGATTGCGACCTCTCTACTTGCCTCTGTGCTCAAGGGATACCTATCGAGTTTTCTGCCTGCTTCCAACACTATTCCCGTGACTCCTGTCTCATTCAGAACATTCAACTGTAATATGAACACACAATGCCATTTACAAAGTGGTCAAATATACTTATACTTGGGATGACACTTTCTTAGTATAGTACGGATTCTCGTACTTTTTGGGGTTGAGTCCCGTCCGGGATGTGCATAGCTTTCGGCCATGGGAGCCGTGCCAATTTACACTTGTCAGTTTAGTGACAGTGATCAATGTTTGATACGCGGCTACCTTTTGGTGTGGCTAAGAATGCAATATAAAATGTGGTAGAACATGTTTGATAATCATGAAAGCATACATTGTTGCGCATATATTTGTTCAACAACATACAAATAAAGTATGACTCATTGATATTTCAATCACTGATAGGTTCTAAACAACTTTTAAACATGAAAGTGGAGACACCATGCAACTTCAGCTGCTATCAACAAAGGTTTGATACTGCTACAAAACGAATAAAAGAGACAAGTACAGAAACAGGCTACCACAACATGATCACAGGTAAGTATACCTGATTAATACATTTAATGAATAATTTGACAATTTGAAAATTCCTGGTTCGCTATACGATTATGTTTCCAGGTTTGTCAGCATTGTGCCCCTTGTTTTCATCAAAGTGGTCCCGCCTCCTTTCACACGCAGCTAACACGCCCTGATATATATTAGTGAAATATTTTGCTGAGCGGCGTTAAACCAAACGTGCAATTGCTTGCTCACTCACTTTGTCTGTTCGTCCAGGTGAAGCAACCCCGGCCGATTTTCAAAATTTCCTTGGATGGCCAAAAATACCACAAAATGTAGGTTTAGAGAAACCAGTGGTTCTGACACCCCATCTCATGAGACACGTGTATACAGATCCGAAGTTTATTCTCATCTTTAGAAATCCAACTGATCGGTAGGTGCCTGGTTTGTGTTTACCGAACCTTGGTTTATTTTCCTAACTGTCGTATACAGGGTAAATGAGTTAATGAATGATATTTAACGCTGAGGTCAGTAATATTCCAGGTTTAGAACGCCTGCCTGTTAACACTGCAAACACGAAAACGTCGATTTTCATGTATGGTCATTGAACGGGAAAACGACGTTTTTGGACGCTTTCGAACCATCGTTTTTTCGTCAAAATAACGTTGTTGTTTGACATCGGAATTTACTGGGAGAGAATGGTATCATCAAGCTCCTCATTTTCTTGATTGACATTGTCATACAAGCAATAGCCTCTACCGGAATTTCTACATCTCACATCTCATTGTTCATTGCGCTTGTTAGATTCCAGCCCGGAGTTTGACGTTGTACTCGTATCGCTTAGCGGAAGTGCTGAATGCAATCGTTCAGTGCATGCGCGATTTCACGAATTCTTTCCTAGTAGTTATGGTCATAACTATTTGAGAGTGGTTCATAAACACATTCTCATGATAAGGTCGTAATCGAACAATGTCGCTAAAATTAAATGGCACGTACTTGGTCGACACCCATTTCGTCTCATTAAATAACACAATGATAACGGTAACAATTTTAGTTAAAATAATTAGGAAAGCGCAAGGCTCATGAAAGGCTGTGTTCAGGGAAAAGGATTAATACTTTTACGTCAGGAAAAAGTACTTAAAGGGAGAATTGTTGAATTTAATTATTAATGTTTCCCTTACGTTTTAGATACTGAAGTGCTACTTATTGTTCTATTTATGCCATCTTCAGATATACATTAACGCCTATAGTCATCCTCTCATATAACCTTTTAATATTAAGCGCAGGAATTTAAACTACTGAAACACCCAAACACAAGGCTGTTATCAAGCACTAGTACAAACGTGATTTACAGAAGAAACAGTATCGTGAAATACAATTTTCTTGCAGATATATATATACTACGAGATAGTAAGGCTAACGCTTACTCACCGGTGAAACGAAGACAATATCGCTGATACAGATAGCATGCATTTGAATGTTAATGCTAAAGACTCATTAATACATTCATGCGCGGCATTTTCTACCTTAAGAAGGACATAGCAAACATGATTTTCCAACTCCAACTCCAACTACCATTCCGCTCTAGATTTGTTATAATATAATGTTATGTCCAACATTCACACACACACACACACACACACACACACACACACACACACACACACACACACACACACACACACACACACACACACACACACACACTCACTCACTCACTCACTCACTCACACACACTTAATTACCCACCCCTGAATTGAGAAGACGTTACGAAGGTCCTCCAAGTTGTCATCAAAATCCGTAAATATCTGTGATATTATTACCCATTCAAAGCCGAATATACCTTTATTTTGCTTTCTTTCATCGGTTAAACATTTACCAACAACAAATGCTATATTCATCGTATTCTTTCTTAGTAAAGTACAGATTCTCGTACGGGTTTGGGTCCCGTCCGGGATTCGAACCCACACTGCCAGAGTGATAATCGCCAGCACACACAGCTGGCGATCAAACCCACAAAGCCACCGGTTCTCCCACAAAAAAAGAACATCCGACAACTGGTAGTCTAGATCACGTCCCCTGTGGGGACCCGGGGTAGACAAGAATGCCTCCTCAGCACCCCATTGCTGGTCGTAAAAGACCTCAGCTCAATCAAATAACTGTTTTCGAACAGTTTTGAAGTTGATTTAATTATTTGAAAATGTCCTATTAAAACATGTCGGTAAGATTAATTCGTTGTAGCAGGATCACATGGGGTTTTATGCGACCGGTTCGTGGTATAAAACCCTAAAGCGGGACGCATAAAACAGCTCGTGGTATGAAACTTTAGCGGGGCGCATAAAACAGCTCGTTGTATGAAACTTAAGCGGGGCGCATAAAACAGCTCGTTGTATGAAACTTAAGCGGGGCGCATAAAACAGCTCGGTGTATGAAATTAAGCGGGGCGCATAAAAACCCCATGCACCCCAAGTGATCCTGCTACAACTTATAATATAAGCGCATGAAACCAAATGGTTACCTTAATAAATCAATATATACTGTCAAAATAAAAACGTTTTGTTGAACGTGCAGATAAAGAATCTTACCAAGACTCCGTACAAGCAGCTAGCACGGTGCGCGACTCACCCGTACGAATATATGGAATACTTACGACCTCCCGTGTAATATAATCTATTGGAAATGAGTGAACAGTTTAGTATCAACTCACCTTTTCATGATATTCGTAAAAAGGAATCCCTTTATGTTTTCGTATTACAAATTAAATTATCGAAAACGATCGGCGAATTCTATGCTTGTTAGATTAATTTGTATAATGTTTACTAAAATAGATTGTTAATTTATCAACCTACCAGAATTCACAAATTACATATGTCAGCAATTTAGGAAATTATGGGAAACATGGGAAACCTGACGTACGTATTTTATTTTAAAAGTAACAGGGACGTGATTTACATCATTACAAGATAACAGAAACATCTACACACTGAAACAATTATAAATGACAGTTATGATCTATTTCAGAACGAATTGTAATTCTTTTATTTTGACCAAGTACACATGCATCAATCCGCCCGCGCTTGGACGGCATAACCAATTATCTACTTACAGAAGATCCGGGATAGAATAGGTCTTGAACAACCCATGCTTGCCGTAAAAGGCGACTATGCTTGTCTGAAGAGGCGACTAACGAGATCGGGTGGTCAGGCTCGCTGACTTGGTTGGTGCATGTCATCGATCTTAATTGCGTGGGTCGATGCTCATGTTGTCAACCTCTGGATTGTCTGGTCCAGACTCGATTATTTACAGACCGCCGTCATATAGCTGGAATATTGATGAGTTCGGCGTTAAACAACAAAGAAACAAACAAACATGTTCATTAATGCCAAAGAACACCAACATCACAGGACTAAGTAGATAGTTTGTTGTGTGTTATTTTGTGAATACACGGTCCCTTAGCACAAACCCAAATGGCCTGTCCCTTGTGACAGGTGTAATTAGAGAATGTATTGCCACTACAATAGACCTATTACGTATCGGCAAGAGTTCAATGTTGTTACATGTAAATAAACTTTGATTAGTCAGTCCATAGGTCTGGAACAATTTTTATGTATTCCATGTATCAAACCATTCATAATTCATCCGTCGTCTACATGGAGACGTAGCAATCAACATCCATCAACAGCCTAGCTTGACAACGGTATAAGGATCTATACTGAAACGTCGACTTTACAGTTAATAAATAAGTTGTTATCCATAAATTGTGTCTACTTTGTAATGAAACATAATTTTACGTACTCGTATTGATTTGAAAAGTGACTGATATATATATGTTTGAATATAATTGCGCTTTTGAGGATAATAGTGAAAGTTTTTTTGGGGATGAAAATACCAAAATATACAGTTAAAAATATATGTACACACAATGCCATTTAGAAAGTGGTCAAATGTAACAACTGTTATATTTGTGATAAAACTTTCTCAGTAAAGTACAGATTCCCGCGCTTTTGGGGGGTTGAGTCCTTTCCGGGAATCGAAATGATTGAAGAATTTCATAATGAACTTTTTCTTATATTTATGCCAGACTACACTCAGACTAAAAAAAACATATACATATATGCATACAACTATATTTACATGCATGGCACACAGATTCACATCAAATCAAAATGTTTTTCATGTTTGTTAATTTGTAAATTTCGTTGTTATCGTTATCCTTAGGATGTTGTATATAATGTATTTGAGAGGTATTGATATGAGCGTGTACGTTTGATTACCAACTCATATTCATTCTCTGAAAAAAAATGTTCCGAGTGATGAAACGTTGTTTTTTTAACAATATTGTTAACCATTCAAATGGTGACAAGGTAGACACAAATCTTTATGGATGAAAACTTCTTTAATACTGTAAAAAGCAACGTTTCGGTATAGATCCTTATACTGTTGTCAAGCAAGACTGAATGAGCAGCATTGTACAGAATATATATAGTAGGTGGAGAATTAACAGTAACAACAATAATTGCATACATGAGTGGGAAAACATGAGTAAGTGTTGACAACAGAACGATAATACTGTCACAACACCATGGACAGAGAGCACATAGGTGGAAGCTAATGGGACACGAAGCCAATTAAATAGGATAAGTGGTTGTTGTTTGATGAGTTCATAGTAGGCAGATGGGATGAAATAGCCTTGATCTCTGTTGATTGATGGCTTGTGGCGGTGAATGTGGACTACTTCTGTTGTCAACACCCTGCTAAGAGCCAACGGTAGGAACACAACCAAACCCTATTAGCCTAAAGGTGTAGTTTACAAAATTGACTGCAACTTTGGACAATCTAACGTAAGTAAAACATCCTGCCCCATCAACACCAGAATGAAAGAGCACAAAACCTCACTGTAATGTAATCTATCTATTACTGAAATATAATGCTGTTTTAATCAAATCGGCGGACGGATTAGTGTTGTATGAATGCTTGTATTAAGTATGAATCAAGTATGAATCAAGAAATCTATATATATGATGTTTTCATATACCCTTATTTTAAATTTAATACGAAGAAATTGAAGGATGCAAAGCTTAGATATCATCACATCCTAAGTATTAAGATTAAAGTAACTCCTAATGCTTACTACACATTTATTCTACGTTAAACTTTAAAAAAACGTTTATATATTATTTTTTCATTTGTAATATGGGAATTAGATAACATGATACCTAAGGTTAACCCTACATAAACCTTGATATATAAAGTAACAGAAAAGACAAACAAAAATATACAGAAATGTAATAATTATTAATAAGAGAGGGGTTTTACGTTCTTTCTTTCTTCGCAGCCGCGCGTTGTTGTGGATGCTGTCATTTGCTATCCGGTAACGGAATTGGTTTTACAATTCAATTGGTTAATTACGTGTCACGTGACACGGCATGTCAATTGGGCCATGACATATATCACGTGGTGCCTGACTTTTGACAATGTATATTGACAATATTCCCGGATCGTTCATGCCAATTAAGAAAAACGCATCAACAGTAAATTCCTTAAGATATAATAATAATAATCGAATCAGGGTTAGGCTAACTAGTGTACGAAAGCAGGAGCGAATATGCATGCCATGACTTCTAATCAGCTAAGTAATAGGGACTGACCCCCAGAGCAACTATGCACGCCATGACTTCGAATCAGCGAACTTACAGGGACTGACCCAAAGAGCAACTGTGCACGCCATGACTTCTAATCAGCTAAATAACAGGGACTGACTCCCAGAGCAGCTGGGCAGGCCATGAGTCTTCAGTTTACACTTATAAGCATAATGTACTATTGACATATTCTGAATCCACATCAGGATACTGTAAGCAGCCATTGTTTGTTTTAGGAAAACGAATATAGATATGTAACCATATGCATGTCTGTTTACATTTAGGCTGTAGATATAGTTCTTGTTGATCAAATAGCATGGATGTTTATTTAAAAAACAAAAACAATTTTTTTTTATGTATTGATAGCTTTAATTGTTAGCTCACCTTGACACAACAAAGCCCTCCTCATGTATCTCTTTCACGTTTTTAGAAAATGTTCATACGATCTTTCTTTACAAAGAAGTAAGGTTTTAGCTTTGACAAGGCTTCACGTAACATAACCATCATAATTCAGCATAATGCCATTAAATGTTTGATCAAATAACAGGGTATAAGTGACATATCAATTAAGACCAATATGTTTACTAAGGATGCAATCTGCCAAAAGCACGCATCGGTACCTTTGGCCTGACTCTAAATTAAGCCTGTCCATTCCTCTTTTGTACTGGCTTCCAAAGCTCCATAAAAATCCGTTCAAAGATAGATATATTGCTGGGCCCAGCAACTGTACCAGATCTCTGTCTCAATGACCATATTCTTTAATACAATCACGGAAGGCTTTTCCTTATATTTATAGACTGTATTTGAGACGATTCAATTATGTCAATATATTTTATGTCATACCACACGACAAACGTAAGGATAAATTAATTCCTTCATCCATGGGGCATTTGACATCAGACGTGGTGACCAGAGACATAGTTACATCTCTAACTTTAAAGCTTCATGACAATTTGTCAAAAATGAAAGCAAATGTCATTTAAAGTTTTACTGAGCAATCAATGAAGCATTTCTTCACTGATAACATACATGTATGTGTAAAATGTGGTGGTAAGACATCTAGTCAAGAAGTTGGCATCCCAATGGGCACCAATGGTGCTCCCTTTCTTGATGATCTGTTTCTTTATGCTTTTAACTATAAACAAAGGAGATCGTCTCGTGTTTTTCATATTTAGATCTATGCTTAAATATTCAGAGTGACAAAAACCTCTCTCACTGTATGACAAAAGGGATGACTTCAACTTTCCAACTTTTCTTTCATGTCGAGCAGTATTCCAGCAGCCCCAGCCTACATTTCACAGCTTTTGAGGTTCAATCGAGCATGTTGTCTTCCAAGATTTCAAAGAGCGTCATTCCATTCTTGCTTCAACCTTTTTTTTATATCAGGGTTACACCATTCAAAGCTTCAGTGAAGATTGCAAAAAGTATTATGGTACATTTGTAGAGGACTCTTCTAAATTCGACACATCGGTGACTAAAATGATGCCCAATGAAAATCCCTGTTTTGACATGTGTCCTTTTTTCATTGTGTTTTCAGGTGAACAATTAACTTGCTTTAAAGTTGGAATCGCACAATTGGCTTTTTTGAGGAAATTTCAGATGATTTTAAAATTACGATTTGTTGCTTATATTTGAGAAAAGCCATAATGATCGCCTTGATAGTTATCTGAAATAGGGTATATGGAATTAAGGTGACCTTTCAGGCATATGATCTAAAGACTTTAAAGGTCATGGTCACAAAGCATGAAAGTAGCACATAAACAGCTTATGACCCTGCTGACTTGAGATGTTATTACAGGATAATCTCCAGGCATACATGACCTCTGAGAACGGGTATCTAATGGTATTTTGACAGAATGAGAACAAACAAAATTATATGTCTTTGACATGGATACATCAAATTATAGAAATATATGTCATATTTGTAGAAAATCAATATTTGATTTTATTTGAATTGTCGAAGGCTACAATCAAACACTGACCCCTTTTTATATTATTACTACATTGAAGGTGCCTTTACATTTTCTAAACATACTAAAATAACTTGGCATTTTATGAATATACCATGTCTGAAGTACAATAATATATATATTCAACATATATCAGTTATTTGAAATTTAAATAAATATTGTATTAGATATAACTAAAGAATGTAACACAAATAAAACTGATTTGGTCAAACTTCTAAAAATAACATTCTAATGCCAATTTCATTGGTAATATTTTCAGTCAGATCTCTCGGCATAATTATCTGTTCGAATGCAAAGCTCATAGCATGTATGTTTAAAAAAATTGATTTAAAACATCCTGACCAGTTGGTCATCCGTACGTCTGGATATTTACGCACACCTGAAGGCCAGATGACATCATTGCAGGTTATATTCTGACTATATGATGCGGAACGGACGGTCAGCTGAGGATTTCCATGAAGCTGTGAGAAGAGATATTCAGATCGAGGAGACCTGCATGAAGAACCACACGGTGGTACATTGTCTGTACAGCCTGGAGATAGCACGAAGACTTCAGGTAGTAAATATCTCTTGACCAGTGAACAGTTCAGAGATGTGATATATTAACTTATGTGTACATCTGTAAATACTGAATGACATGGTGATTCTATGAGGAGTTAAAGTCATGTACGTTGTCGCATATTACAATTCGCATTTTTCTTTCCCAGACTTACATTTTCTTTGGGTGCTATTCAGTGTACATGCGAGAATGGCTGAAGGTTTTTCCAAGAGAGCAATTCCTGATCTTGCGAACAGAGGACCACAATCAGGATTCAAAAGCTCAGCTGAGAAAAGTGTACAACTATTTGAAACTAAGTGAGTTTTTATCTTTTTCTTTCCGGTTGCGTAAGTTTCCTTTCGATTAGTGACAGTTTCATGACATATAAAAAAAATGTATGAAAGGAAAGATAACGTTGTCATAGTTATGTATTTGGGATATGTCAACATAATTCACCAGACCAACTCAGTTACTGACATACTCATATTCCGACTTTAGGATAACTCACACAAAGGCACATTGTATTTCAGAATATACTGAAGAGTGGTTGTCTTACATCGCCAGTGTGCCTCATCGCAATGTCAGCAAGAAGAAGAAAAGTGAAGGACCTATGCTTAAAAAGACCCGTGTCTTACTCGACACATTTTACAGCAGATACAATCGGGATTTGGCAGATATACTACAGGACAGGAAGTTTCTGTGGCTGACTTGATATCTGCCATGGAATGCGGGGATATAACCTACAAGCAAACAGTTCATACCAATATTCCCTTCAAACATTTGTTTCTAGTTCATTTTTATCATAATTGATATTTACAGTCGATATTTTGAGATTATTACCCACATGGTAAAGATACAGGTGGTAAGATACTGTCGTAACTGCTTTCGGGTGTCAAGTGGGACCCTACTACAGTTATTGAAAGTATTGCTGTTGTTCCTGGTCATCATGGTCAGTTAAACCATGACTTTGCAACTCGCCTTGTGAGCTCAGCCAAGGAGTGATTGGTCTAACGACGCTTACTCCCAAGTTGTCTCCATCAACATTCATACTCGCATAATAAAGAAACGCAACACAAGCTTTATACTAACATTGTTTTACTTACTCTCAGCCATCTATCAATACACGACAGGATCAGACCGGTCAGGCTCGTCACTAACTGGGGAGAACTCGATCGATTGCAAACCGCGCTCTCCTTTCCTAATGTTGAAGGTATCATTTTATAGTGTTTGGGCCTGGCCTGTCTTTGTCACATGTCACAATACCTCATTTTGATTCGTTAAAAGTTAGATCTGACCATGAACTCATGTGTGTCGTAATCGGAAAAATACCGAAGCCTACGTGCCAGAGTGATCATCTCTCTATTGATTTTGTGACTCACTCCGGATGCTACAAATGAAAAGAATCTTTCCTCTCTGCTTGTTTCATCAACTAATCGACGATAACATGGAACCAATCCAATGATAAATATGCAATATCCAGAATACTCTTGTGATACACGTAAATGTCAAATGTCTTTTATCTATTAATTTCTTTCGATCTAAAAGTTCTCTGTCACAAACTTTGTATATCTAATGCAACTCATCATTGCAGCTATAAACGGTTTAATTTGTTACCATTTTCTAATGTTTTTGAGACGCATTTGAGCCTTATAAAAATACTAAATCCGTACGTCACACGTGTGTCGTACAAGGTTGACCTTGTTTTATTCGTGTTGATTGTATAACCGTGACCTCTGTCACATCGGGACTACTTTTTTTATTCATAAAACATCGCGAGACGTCATTCATTTTGCAACTACAAGGCAGAACTGAAGAAATTCATGTGAACGAGAGATATTTACAAACACTTTATTAAACCAAACAGGTTAGTCAAATTCGGTTTGCATTCTATATAAGTTATGCATAGAGCTTTTACAGACATTATATATATATAATCGAGCTGTATCCATTTCCAATGTACGACTACCGATCAATAGAGAGAGGGTCCCCATGAGCATATCGCACCCGACCACTTTCGCAACTTTCAATTTGATTTAACGTAAAATGATAAACGGGGAAAATGAAGTCTGTTTACACTATCTGGGCAAATATCTAGACTTACTTAGGACGATCCGGTTGTGTCATCAGTGTCCCCTTCGAAGCGTATTTTGTACACGACTGCACGACTAGATCACTAAAAGTGAACAGTTCCGATACAAATTATTCGAAAACTCCGTGGAAGTGTGCCTGACTTCTGATTTTACGGCCCCAAACATCCCAAATGTGAACAATAACATTCCCTCTCTCTAGCGTAAAACGCTGTGAGTAGATCACAGATGTCTTTTCTTAATCCGGTGGTGACCTTGCCCTTCGATCGTTCGAAGCTGTCACTGACATGAAAGCAGACTTCAGTTTGTTGATTTTCACGTGTTCAGTATTTAGTGGTACAGTTAACATGGATGTCTTTGGCGAACACTCTGATTTCCCTCTTCCAAAATGGTACGTACATGATATTAATTCAGCTGATAGATCAAGGAAACCGAACCATGACGGGACCCAGGCAGTGCGAGTGACCGACTGTTGGTCCGATATTCAGGGCAAGGCGCTAATGTGACTTTTCAAATTACTTATAGGTGTCCTGCGTACTAACAACATGGCGCTTGAATTAACATAAGTTGAAGAATTTCTTCCAAAAGGATCTTGAGCGTCGGTGTTGTTTTGTTTGCAAACACAACTGCAGGCGCATGTTGTTAATGCGTATGCATAGAAAAGTCAACAATGCCCATATTTGGGCATATATCAATATTCATGCGCAGTTTGGTCTGTCAACGAACGCAAGCTGTTATGTATTTACACTAACGAGAATGAGTGTAGTATTCTCTATATATCCAATACGATGCGCTTTTGAAACAAATACCTTATTCTGAATGTCATGTTAATTATTATGAAAATGTATTTATAAAAAGGCATTGAAAGAATCAAAATTCTCCAATATGTAATACAAGCATGGAAACTATATATTCTTCAGCTACAGCTGCAAAATCAGAAGGAAATTAAATTAAAACTTGATTGCAACTATGTAAACGTGTAGCAGACTATTTCATTTTTCAACAGTCTGAAACATAAATATTTTTGTCTTAAATATTAATGAACAATCTGAATATCGTAGTTTCCCACTACCGTCAAATGGTTGGAATTCACAGAAAATCAATTGCTAGCTATATCTGTAAGTAGAAGCATATCGTTGCTCTCAGCAAGACACGTCTTGCCGAGGAGGGACAGCTTAAAGAGCATCAAGGAGATTTGGGCAGGAGATTCTGGAGTAGGCGAGCCACAAACGAGCGGCGCGAAGCTGGAGTTGGTTTTGCATTGTGGAATGAACTCGTCAGCAAGTTGAGCTCTTTTTTCCGGGGCACAATGACAGATTCATGACCATGACACTGTCCCTCACAGGGAAGAAGTAGGCCAAGGTCATCAGCGCCTACGCACATACCAGCACTGAACCTGACGAAATAAATAACAAGTGTAAGCTCCCTTACAGCTTCAGTCTCTTAGTCAGAGCGGTGGCAAGGGTGGCCCAGTCGTCTGAGGCGCCGCGATTCGCTGTTTATAGTTGCGTCACTTGGGCAAGCCAGAAGCCTATGATTGTGGGTTCGAATCCCGGTTCGCTCCAATTATGTTTCTAGGTTTGTCAGCACCCGTATCACTTCAGGCTTTCCTCCAACATCAAGCTGACACACTGCGAAATAACTGGAATACTGTTAAAAGCGGCGTTAAACCCAATTCACTCACTCACTCTATCCAAACCAGAATACTCCTCCAACGGCCTCATCAAACACATCGAACATGACCTGCTGCCAGAGAACAATGTGGCTTCCGAAAGGAGCATGGTACCACTGACATGGTGTTTGCTACACACCAGCCGCAGGAGAAATGTCAGGAACCACATGTCGACCACTTTCACCACTTTTATCGACCTTATGAAAGCGTTCAACGCTGTCAGTCGGGAGGGTCTCTGGAAGTCTATAAGCAAGTTTGGATGCCCAGGCAGATTAATCCAGGCAGTCGAGCAGTTCAATGACGGCATCCAGGCTCAATTCTTTGATGGTGTCGAGGCATTCTCTCCATTCCTAGTCATAAATGGAGTGAAACAAGGTTGCGTGATGGCTCTAGCATCACAGCGATACTGACAGAAGCCTTCCATGCCTCCGATCCAGGCATACACATCATATAGAACATATGGCAAGCTGTTCCACGTCTTCACACTGAGACCAATGTCCATGTTAACAAGATTAGAGACTTCCTGTTCGCTGAAGATTGTGCCCTCAATGTCCTCAATGCCGTGGACTTGTTCTCCTCTGCCTGCTGATTTTGGTCTAACAATCACCATCAACAAGACGGAAGGGAAGTCGACGAAAAAGTGTAAAAATGAATCTTGTGTTTGAGGGGGAACTTTATGGTCAATCAGATTTGTCGTTGCTGATCGGAGGAAAATCAGAAAGCTTTGATCAGGAAACGTTAGAAATGGAGAGAGTGAGCGAGTATAGTTTTAGACCGCTTTTAGCAATATTCCAGCAATATCACGGTGGAGGACACCAGAAATGGGGTTCACACATTGTACCCAGGTCTTCGTCGTGACGAGAGAACGGTTTTAACCCCTAGGCTACCCGACTGCACCGCAAGAAAAGGAATTGCCAAGAGAAACAAACATTGGTAAGAGAATATCGGCAGGCAGAGTGGCACCAAGGTCACATTTGATTGCTTCCATAGAACGACAATGCCAGTCAGTTTTGGACACTAATGGTGGCTATTCAAGATATTGAAAACAGACGACCGTAACCTTCACTGTTCCATATACTGTTCAATATGAAGACACAAATATTAAGACAATGCATACAAATATTAAGACAAATAGTAAGACAACACATAAATATATGAGAACACATACATTATACTCCTCAAAAAAGAAACGCAAAAGGGATATTCTTGGCAATAAAAGCAAAATAATGGGACCAAGAAGTGCAAAATGAAGAGGTTTAATGTGTTATAGTGTCAGTGACAAATTTCCCGGAACAAAATGATCACAACAAGAACATGCAAACCATTAGTCGGGAAACACGTAGGTTTCGGAAAAACGCACTATGGAGCTCCACGTACTGCACGTGCCTGGCATCTGCGTCAATCGAACAATGACAGTTCAACAATATGCCAATATTAACAGAAGTGCAACGAAACAACGTCATAGCCCGCTTGTAGGCAGGGGAATCCCGATCAGCTGTAGCCAGGGTTTTCATCTAGTGCCCAGTACCACCAAAAGGCTATGGGATCGGTTACAACAGCATGGGTCAACACGTGATCGGCGAAGCCAAGAGTAACCACCCTCGCCCAAGGTCGCTACATCCGATTACCCAACCAACGTGCAAAGACGACCACAACCACCTCAACCGCATCCCAAATACCAGGACTGCGCAGAATCTCCAACCAGACCGTACGAAACCGTTTAAGAACAGCAGGTCTACGAGGAAGACGTCTTGTTCGATGAGTCAATTTGAGTCGACAACATCGTCAACAACGAATACATTGTGTCGAGAACACAGGGTATGGCCTCAACTGCGATGGAGACATGTCTGGCTCAGCGACGAATCCAGATTTCTCCTCCATCGAGGGGATGGAAGAACATGCTTCTACCGACGTCGGGACAGGTTTGGTGGGGGCAGCATTATGATGTGGGCGCCTATCTCTCATCATGGTAGGACAGGTTTGGTCCATATCCAGGGCAATCTTACGGCTCAACGCTTAATCAACGTAATTGAAATCCTACCACGTGTCCTCCCAATTGCAACCAACGGTAACGGTGTATTCCAGCAGGACAACGCTCGACCGCATACAGCACGGATCAAAAGAGCCTGTCCACGCAACAACAACGTTGATGTTCTCCCCTGGCCCTCCAGATACCCGAATTTGAACCCGATAGAACACCTGTGGGATGTTTTGGATAGACGGCTACGCCGACGTCAACCACAACCCAAGACGTTGCAGCAGTTGGCTTTTGCGTTGCAGGACGTGTGGGCTATCATTCCCCAATAAGT